GCGGGTGGCGGAGAAAATGGCCAGCCGTGGAGCGGGGATGGTCAGTACCTAAATGGTCGCTTCACTCTAAATCTAACGGCAGGGTAGGAGACGTTTCCGCTCAGTTGGAATGGTAATGGGTCATTTATGATCATTTATTGTTCCAGATCTTGCTGAGAGAATTGATGGAACATCGAGTCATCTAAATTGTAATATTTCATCATTAAGGAATGCATGCAATGCTGCGGTTCGGGGTATAGGAACCACCGGAGGGGTTCATTATTTGATCCATAAATTAATGCGTTATCTGGATGGAGTCGGTTTAGTCCGTTGATTCGTTAGATCGGAATGCCGGCCCAGGTTCATGACCGGCGGATCATTGCTTCTATTTTCTCCACAACTGGTCTACCGTCGTGTTTTCCAAGCTTACTTTCCGCAACAGTCTGCCCTCCGTCTGTTTTCCCATGCACTATTTGTTGATCGCCTTTTTACCCTTCTCGCTGTCTATTTCCGTTCTTCGTCCGCCGTTTTCCCCTCCATTCGCTGCCGGTGAGGCGCCGGTGCATGGTCTCTCGTCTGTCGTCACCTCTGGCGCGTCCGCTATCCGACCAACATCGGTTCCGCCCCGTCTGTTACCATCTGTTACCAGCTGTTGCCATCTGTTACTGGGCGTTCCAGTCAGCTCGTACCGCGTGGAACCGCTCATCCCGTGCTGAAAACGTGGTAACACGTGGCAAGCACGTGCTTCGTGAGACGTGAGATCCGTGAAAAGGTGGAATAGACTTGTGCTATAGTTTTTTATCTCGATCTTCGACTAACCAAAGAAGACTATAATTAGAGATGATGATGCGCATCTAGATGAGTCTGGCAGTTACAGAACGAGAAAATTAATCCAACATCTGTCGCGCTCTTGTCCCGTGTGGTCCGATTCCAGCGCATCCTATATCCACACCAGGTGCTCGAAATAGTTGTCACGCGAGTAATCTACAGGCGACTGCGGACTGACTGTACGGGACCGGTGACTGATGACTGACGAGTCTGAGATGGTCAGTGAGTCTGACCAGTCCCATAAAACGACCAGCGCTGAGACCTCAGAGTCCGGTGGACAGGCACAATGGCAGACCCCGGAAAATGAGTACTTACTGAATGCCGGTCACGCTAGCTGGAATGGACGCCGGAGTTTACACTGGAGGTGTCACGGAATACTGGCGAGGAATGGAAAGTTCTAGGTATTATAGCTGGCCCATTTCCACTCTAAAGTAGGGTTAGAATATCACCCAGCAGACCAGCGTTGTTTAGAACACTGGTGCTGACGGCGGAAATCGGTCCATCCGCCTGCCGCCCTCGCCGCCCGGTCCTTATAAGCAGCGTCTAACCGGGGCCCTGCCGGCAGCCAGTCGTGGACGCGGCAGCGTGGACCGACGCCAAGTAAGGCAGCGAGGGCCTGGTCAGTACGCCCCCCCCCCCCCCGCCGCGCCCGCTGCCATGGCCAGTTCCTGCCTGATACGGCGATACCCCGGCGGACCGATGGACCGGCCGTATTTGGTCCGGTCCGACGTGTGTGAGGCAGTGAGTCAGTCCGGTCCGAGTGCGTCTCGAGGTGACGGATTCCGAAAATAGTTTGGTGGGTACAATTCCATTACAAGTCCATTTCCAATCAAAAGCAGTGAAATATCAGTAGCATTGGCTTACTATGAAAACAGTCTTCATGAATCCAAAATGGGTGGCGGAATAGTTCGAAAAAATGATGGGACTAACTTCTTTTTGTTCTGATTTTGACATCCGTAAGTCCCAAATTTAATAAGTTGCACAACTCGCACGGGCAATCAAACGTATTTCGAAACCATCCGTGACTTTTACTATCGGCACGTTAGGCAGTAACCACGCGTGCTATTGATATGATTATTCAATAGTCGGTCACTCGCCCCAGCGCACGACTGTCGAACTACGAAACTCTCACCGAGCTGTCGCTGTTCCATTGTTGCCACATGCATTCAAACTTCGGACCTGCCTCACGACGTGTGAAAGGATTGTCACGGCAATTTGGCAATGGCTCTGTTTCTGTGTCAGTCGCCTATATTTGGCACGGCACGATCCCAATATAGCCTAGCTCTCACCTCACCTCAACCCTTTCCGATATTTTAGGCCGCGATAGCTCGTTGCCAAATCGCACTCGTATTCGGTCTCTGCCGGACATCCCGTTCCGACCCACCGAGCCCTCCTAGTTTGGAGAGGCTGCGCCAGCCTTACAGTGCAGTCGGTCCCATCCCAGATATGGCCGCACGGCTGCGGCCGCCGCCTCCCGCTGCCACCAGATTGGGATGGCCAGTTTTTGCGGCCGATCGGCCGGCCGCGGGCTGGGAGTTGATTAATCGAGATCAGTTGCATTGGCTTGGCTCGGGCAGGGGCTGGTGGCGGTCGCGGCGATGGTGGATGACTGCCGACAGACGATGGGACTGCTGAGGTGACGGTGACGGGCACGGCGATGACGTCAGTGACGGTGACGTCAGTGACGGTGACGTCAGTGACGGTGACGTCAGTGACGGTGACGTCAGTGACGGTGATGGTGGTGATGACGGTTGTAGCAGTTGGAGACGGCGACGGCTGTTTGGCTTAATGGGGCCGGCGGGCCGCGGCAGCCATGCAGTAAATATCGCTGGCAGACGAGGGTGGAACTGGAGACCGCAAGCACGGCGATGTTTTGTGTTTGCGGAGCTCGAATAATGTGATACGCTCACATTTGTTTGAGAAATAGGACAGCAGCTAGTTCCGGTTTACACAAAAACATCCTCCCTCCCGCCGCCACGCACAAATTCCCCCGTCCCTCTCTCCCTTCCCCTCCCTCTCTCCGTGTCGCTCGCCTGTATCCGAGCGGGCACGCGGAGGAATGCCGCGAGAGCGGCGGAGCGGGCTGCAGCCTGCAGGGAGCTGAAGGTCGCTGGTAGGTGAGCGGCGCAGAGGCGCGGACTCACAAACAGCCGATCACGTCCCAGCATAGTCGTGGTCACGGTCTTTGCTGTGGTAAATTTAGTACATAATTTTATACACGCAGCACGCCATTCTGTTTGTTTATTGACTTCTTAGGACGCGAGGCTGTCGTATTGGGAATAAGTAAGCCCAGCATTGAGCTGGGTAAACAATCATTCTCACATTTCCAGTCGGTTTGATTGCTGTCCGTCCGTCCAGAAGTTGGCTGCCAGTCTGATGTTTATTGTTCCGCCTGCCTCATTACGTTGCGTAAGTGGCGTAACTACCGTAACGGTTACCGGTGAGTCACGTCCGCGCCGTAATCGCAGCGTAACTACGCACGCCGCTATCGGTAATTGCGATATTACGGGTACTGGCCGCTGTCTGGTGACGTGGAGGCAGAACCGCTGCTCCTGCGGGTCCTGACGAGTGACCAATTCAAACGCACTTCCGTATGTGCCGCTGGTAAAACTGGCTTTGATGTGAATAATTCGTATTTCCGAATTTATAGTAATTCGGTTCCGTATGAATCGGAACGGGACTTTGGTCTTTGGTGACCGTTATCTTTCTTGGTAATGTCCTTTCGCCGTTTGTTGGCAGCCGTCTTTCCAATCTTTCTAGATTCTGCATTAGGAGACGTCGCTACATTGGTTAGACCCTCTGGCTCTGACTTCCTCGGATACGGTAGCCTGACTCACGGAATGAGTTCTCCTGACTATCAAATGGTCGTCCCGATGAGTGTGTCCGGGAGCGGAATGCTGTTTGGACCGCCATGCCGAGTGCTGACAGCCGGCCGTAAACTGACCGGACAGCTGATGTCACCCCCGTGACCTCAGTCGATCGCCGGCTGTGGACAGCGGGAGGGTACCTATGTGACTGGGGCTAGGGCAGGGTGGCTGGGGTTAGGGTGGTGTTCGGCAGGCGGCACTGACTGCCACGCCCCGAGTGCAAGCTCGGACCCCGTCGTCTATCAGGCTTTTAATCTGGAGCTAGTATTGGCTTTATTAGCAAGATTTATTGTCCGCTTGATGCTAGTTATTTAATTTCTGATCCTTCTCATGTGGCCTTGGCTGTTCCGCAATCTCGCGGTATTGAGTTTAAACGTAAAAACTACAGTTTGGCATTCCGGTTGGCGTGTCATTCACCGCCGCCCACCACTGAATACCAAACCGTCCCCAGTCGTCACCGACGCGTCGATAGCGCGCCACTTTCGCCCCGTCGGCGTCGGCGTTCGAACCGTCTGACTCACCGGCCCTTGACAACAGCATCGGTCGACGGCCGGCGACCACCGAGAAGGGCTCTCCATTGTCGAAACCTGCTCCCATATGGCGCCCCACCGGCCGCGCCGCAGACGCCGCCGCTGCGCCACCATTGCCGCAGGCGACAGCTGCGGCGCGGACCCGGGTTGACGCCGGTGGGCCTCACAATGGAGAGGGCCGGGTCGCGGCGAGGGGTTTTTCTCGTCCGTCTGAGGAGGTGTGCTGTCCCGAACGTGCTTGGAGTAATGATGAGGAAGGCTCGTGTCCACTGCATGGCCAGTGCAGTGGACGCCGGAGAGGGTGGGGCCGAGGGTCAGCCAGAGACAGACCTACAGGAGGATCCGACGTGGTTTATGGGTCACTTAATTCAAAGTAATTACCTGGGTGAGGTTTGGCCACCAAGGCTGGCGGCACGAAAGGTCGTCTGGAATCATACCTAGCCGATGGTCAATAAAGAGGTTAAGCAGGCAATCGGTTTGCTCAGCGGGTATTGGCAATGCATTATTTTAGATCAAGAAATCCTTCAGAACGATTTGCTGGTGTAGGTACTGTGAGAAAATCGAATATCCGTGGTGAAAAGAAACAAGTGACGAATTTGGGATGGCTTGGCCAGAATTACTTGGTAGGACATTGTCAAGCCAAATATGCATCTACCTAATTATGGGTGAACGACTTTTCTTAGCTCAGGAAAAAATGCTGCCACACCAAAAATAATGAAATGTTACGACCTAAAAATTGGAACGGATGAGATGTGTCGAAAGGCCCAACATTAACGTTATGTTTCTTGTGTTTCAGACTCGCTAAACCAAGATGGCCGCCCCGACCAGCCCGACCCTGAAGGACCTGCCCAAGGTGGCGCCGAACGTCAAGTCCGAACTGGAGGGCTTCACCCCGGACAAGCTGAAGCACACTGAGACCCAGGAGAAGGTGGTGCTCCCCACCAAGGAGGGTGAGTGACGAGTCTCGAACCCGTGACATTTCATAAGGTGACGCATATCTGACTCTTGATCTACATGTGACCTATAGGTAAAGTTTTTGTTCACGGGACCACGTCAGCCAGAGTTTTTTCTTACAGGTATAAAACAAACCTGGCTTTATATTTTCGGCATCCTTCACTGTGATCTGTTCTTTTCATTATTTATTCACTCCATACTCCGCACCTATTTGTCCTGTTCATTTATTTTCATCTCTACTGAGTGGTGACCTTTCTTGACCTCTCCACAACTCGTCCGCATGGCCGTAGTCACTCCATCACCGTCCGTCCCCTGCGACCTCTACTCCTCCTCTTCCGAAGCCTCTGCCAGAGGTCAGAGGTCACGGGTCGTCCCTTGCCCTCCGATCGGTGCCGCCTTTGGCGCCGTTCGATGCCCTTTTGTCATCGTCTCGCGCCAGTTCGCCCGTCTGGCAACAACAGCACGCCTCTGCAGAGGGCTGGTCGCGCTCGCCGCCAGGCAGCGCCACAGAGCCGGACGGTTTTTATTCCGACCCAAATACAGACGGAGACTGGCGCAGCAAAAACGGGCCACAGAGCGCCGGCCGCCGAGCCGGGCCTCCCCTAGCCGCGGCGGCGCTTTTTGCTCCCTCCCGAAAACGGAAATGTTCGCCTGATTGATAATGCGCGCGGGCCGCGCTGCAGCGCTCCAGTGCGCAGAAGGGCGCAGCGCATCGCGGCGTGGTGCCGCAGGGAATCAACATTGCACAGCTGCCTATCGGGTGGCTCATCCAGGTTTGGAAATAAAAACGTGATACGAGTTCCAAAAGGATTATTTGGACGTCACGAATTCCTAAATTCTCGTGCCGGTTCATTTTTGGTTTGTAACAAGCAAACCAGTTTTTAGTGTGGTTAGTACAAACTTTTTCCAAACCGTGTTTGGTATCTCGTTCTATAAATACAACCTTGCACATTGCGCCTGCGCTGAACCTCCGCCGCGGCCCCGCCCCGGCTGTGTATGTGGCTCGCGCCGCGCGGGGTCGCTGCCGCTACCGGCTGCTGCGCCGCGCGGTCCGGCCCTGGTCCGGCCGGCCTTGCTGAGGGCCGGTCCAGCTCCGGGTGCCTCTGCTGCGCAGTTGTACTGGTCACAGCTCGTCCTCACAGCGCCAGAACCGCCGCGCAGATCCAACCGACAGTGACAGGGCCGGCGCAACAGTCGGTAGTAAACGGGTCCTTGAACTTGGCCTCTGGTGAAAGACCGAGGTGAAGCCAGGGCCTGAATGAGCTGAGAGGATTTTTGATTGAGACCTATCATGACGGAATGTGTGCGTGTGTGTGAATGGGGGAGGGGTATCTAGAGCGCTTGTGCTACAACTGTATAGCATGACTCACTTCTGCTGTTTGTAGTTTGCTGCGAATCGCTGTGCTTTTTCGTATGTTTTCATGCCCTTTTATCCTTCTCATTCCTTGAATTATAACTCAAAAGTTCACAACTTCAAAATAGTATGCCGAGGCTCGAATACTTTTAACAGCCTAAGTTAAATGGTTTTCGTTTCGCTGGTTATTCAGGCAGCTAACACTGCATATCAATGTGGTGCTCCCCAATCATGATTTCTATCATTCAGCAAACATACTATCAATGAGGCAAATGACAGGGTGATATCATTTGGAAAGGAATGTTTTCTGTTGATACTGAAGAGCTAACATCAAATCGTCTCAACAAATGTGTACCCAGTACAGTAATGTTGATAGCGTGTCAAGACGTTCATGGTCCAATGACGATAACCACACCGCTCACCCACTCACCCCCTTCCTTTTGCTCTGCTGTTATGATTTGCCTTGCTGTGCTTCCTTTTCTTTGTACCTTTTCTGGCTGCATGTGGCTCGGTCTCGCTCGGCGCCGGGTCGGGTTGTGACTGCGGCGCGGCCTTTCTGCAGATGTCGAACAGGAGAAACAGCACAACGCGCTGCTCGAGGGCGTCGAAAAGTTCGATGCCGAGAGGCTTAAGAAGACCGAGACACAAGAGAAGAACCGACTGCCCTCGCCTGACGGTAAACACGGGCCTGACGCGTGCCTGACGTGACCCTTGAGAGTAGAGGGCCAAGGCCCAAGGGCTCGGCAGGACCCGAGCCGTAACTGAGTGCAGTGCAGTAGGAACTAACGTACCGAATAGCGTGCACGCTCACGTTTTGCGTAGACGTGTCGTCCACTGCTCACCACTAACCGCGTGTTCTGATCAAACGATCACCAGGTCCTGAAGCGGCTTAACCTTCGCCCCAGTGGGGGGGGGGGCATATGTTACCACCCTGTCGCGTTTTTCGCGTGTAAATAAAAAACCGCGGCGCGTAGCGCCGCGCCGCTTAGGGTAGCTTTTTGTACATCAATTTTGGACAATGTGTAAAATTTTTGACCCCAGGTCATGTCAGGTCAGGTCACCAGGTCAAGTTAACTGACCAAGCCTAAAAAAGTTTGCAATTATGTCCAGCCTGCAGTGTTTGTCAGAAAGGTTTTAAACTTGGTGGATTGCATGATGTTATAGGCGCCTACAATTTGTATATCTCGGATTTTTTATATCCGTGACCTAAGGTCAGGTCAGTGGCGTGACCTTACCATTATAAGGCAATGGAGAAAAATGAAAATGCCTCTAGATCCGTGTGTACGCATAGGAACAGTCCAAATATTTCAGAATCACAATGATTTAGTCCACTCGTGATGACCAAGGTGTCATTTTTGCTGATAGCCTCTAGACAGGTCATCCGAGGTCACTTGAGGCTACAAACAGTTTTTTGCCAATAACTCGCGATTGGAAAGAGATAGAACGCTGGGGATGGTCTCATTGTGTTTGTCTTGTTGAGACGCATCGACTGATATGCAACATGACCTTTTCCGGTCAGGTCATGACCTTGACCTGAGGTCAAATTTTCAAGTTGACCTTTCAATGTCAAACTATAGTTCATTCGACGCGTCTCGGCGAGGGGAACACGATTCTGGCAATAGAAATGCCGTGGCTTTTTGTAGTCAAAAGTTATTGTCGAAAAACACTTTTCCTAAAAACAGCTATTTTTGGAGTTTTTGCCCTCTGGAGGCTAAACCGTTGACCTGAGGTCAATATTGATAATGACCTTTTCAAAAGAAGAGCTCAAAAGCTATCGTTTGCTGTTCCATGCGTTTTTCTAGCTACCATAGTTCCTGAGATAGAGGCATGTTTTCTGAAAAATATAATGACAATTGGCAAATTTTGACCTTTGATGACCTCTGGTGACCCCAATATTGCTCTAAGGTGAAAAATGACCAAAATACTTTCAAACGTACGCATTGAGAGCTATCGACTGCTTTTTACCGCGTCTTTCTATCCCTCTTAGTTTTTGAGTTAGAGGTGGGTGGTAACATATGCCCCCCCCCCCCACTAGGGCGAAGTTGGCTGAGACCGCCACTGGGGCGCCGGTTAATGAAGTGAATCAAGGAAAGTAGCATCTAGGTATTTGGCTTGCCAACTTAAGAAAACGCATTCTCGTTAAAAGCTCGTATAAACAGGAAGCGGCAACGGTTGTCTCGCTCGCGTTGTGTCAATAATTTGATTGCACCCACTTACCTACCTCATCAGGTCTTGTTTCTACATCACTGGAATCATGACTAAATTCGTTGTTGCACCTATAAGTTTTCCTGCCGTGTCCCTATCTGCAAAGAGCCGACCGGAACTTTCTATCAGTCCGGATACTCAGGTACCGGTATGTTGACAATGAGAGGCCCCTTTGACTATCAAGCACGCCATGGTTCCGAGCGCACTTCTCGCTGAAGTGTTACCAAACATTCCTGATTGGCCGGCGTCTGAGAAATACCAGCGGATTTAAGTCTTATCGCTCTTAGATTTATTTACGATAAGTGAGTCGCCCACCACGGCTTACTCTATTGGCGTAAAATCAATAGTGGCTTGAGTCACTCTGACTCCGTGTCAATGATTAGACGACGCCTTATGAGCGCTGGGCCTATAGGCGTAACCGGCCCCCGGCCAGCGCCCCTATACGGCATGCCACGCCCCAGCCGGCTGCCTCGTGGCGGCCTGCCGACGACCGCGCCACCTACGTCCGGTCTGGGCGGCTGTGACGTCAGGGGTGCTGACTCTGAGTGTGATCGCTAACGGGGGACGGGGAGGGTGCACTGGCTGAGAAGCTGAGTCGATAAAAGGGTGCGGCGCTGTCACAGAGTCCACGTGTGACTCATCCCTCCCCGGGTTGATTCCAGCTGACCGGATGAAAGGCTGTGCAATATTGGACCCGAGTGAGCGATAGTCATCATCAGTAAATCAGTCAGCACGTCATTCGACAGTCACGTCAGACCAAAACTGCTTGATTCACCACATGCTGACTGCTTCGCGTGCACATGCTTTGACGTTTCTGCCCAGAATGATCTTCAAAAACGAAGCTGAGACCAACATTTGTGACAGAAATTCCACGTCGCGATGCTAGATGAGGCACTTTCGCCAGCTCCTAAAGTTCTGTCAAAGTTCCCCGTCAGAAGTTCGGAGGTCGAGGAGAAACATCAGCAGTCAGCACTTAGCCAGCTAAATTATCCAGCGTTGCTGTGATGCAATCCCTCAAATGCGAAATGCGTCGCTGCCAATGCGTGGTCTGCCAGCGCAGCTAGCTCGTAATAAAACCAACGCAAGCAGCAGTGTGTTATCAATGCGAGTATGAAGAAGCTGTCATGATTCGATGTAAAACTGTGACACATCTTCCTGGCGCCTGTTAGCGACTTGTTCTGGGAACATGCTCGTGAAATTTATGTCATTCTTAACAATTGTGCCGAAATTCAGTCATTGGGCAATTCAGGTAAACGTTGGTTAGGTAGGGAAATATATCGCAATGGCATACAATCTGCCAAATTATTCAGGCTCTACATAGTCCACTGAGGCTATGTTTTTGTTTTCTTGCACGTGTGCTCTTACTTCAACTATGTTTTGCTCCTCTCACCTCATTCGACCAGCAGCTTTCTTTTGCTGTTTATTTTCAGAATTCCCCCCCCCCCCCCCGTTTGGAATGGAACCTTCCCTCCCACCTAGACCTTATGCTGATTTCATGCTATGCCATAAGCTTGTTTTTCTTTCGCCGGACTGCTTTCTGGACTTCTGGCGCCCTGGTTTGCGCGAGTGTAGCCACGACTTGCCTGCCCTGCCGCTCACCCTGCATGGCTTGTGTGTTGATTAGACGTCCAGCAGGAGAGGACCCACCAGGACCTGCTCTCCGGAGTGGAGCACTTTGACAAGCACTCGATGAAGGCGGTGACGCTGGCGGAGAAAACCCACCTCCCCAGCACAGAAGGTACTGCGGTGGCTCCTCGGCAGGCCACGGTGCTGTAGGTGGCAGCACTGTCGATGGTGCTAGAGGTGGTGGTGCTGCCACCTGCTGGTCAACTGGTAAAAAGTGTGGTTAACTAAGTTTGCCACCAGAGTGAATGTGTCTTGCAACTTGAACTGACCTATCCCCATCGTTCGTTTTGACTCTTGATGTTTGTGTGTGGAGTGTGGATCTGACGCCTCCCGATTTCAGATCATTTGGCCTTCTTTTACGGTCCATATGACGTTTTCTCCCTTTCATTTTACAGACTACACTTTTGACCTATGTTCGATTGTTCGTTAGTCAATCACAATCAAAGCACCTGCTCGTAACTTCAATACTATTGCATAATAGTATGATCAGTAACAAAAACATCTTTAGATTTGAAGTCATTCGGTTTTATGGATAACATACAAACAAGGCACTCGTTACTTTGCTGTGTTTTAGTGTCACAACTATGCATATTGCTTTGATTGATTCGTAATTGAACATTATGATCCACCACTATAGCCCTTACCTCCGCCTCCCGGTCTAATCCATCACGCTCGCAGTGTCCCAGTTCCACTGTCCTGACGTGCTGCTGACGTTTGCAGAGATCCAGCAGGAGAAAACTCTGCAGAGCCACCTGGACGGCATTGAGAACTTCGACGCCAACAAGCTCAAGCACGCCGACACCGTGGAGAAAAACCCCCTGCCAACCGCCGACGGTACGTCTGGCTAGCGTCCCAGGAGAGGTCGGCGCATAGAATGGAGGTGCCGCAGATAATGTAAATAGCTTGATTGGAGTGCCCATGCTGCTCGTTTCATAAGAAGTTGTGTTGCGTCGTTACAGCTAGAACGCTTACAGTTCTGTCATTTTTAACGCATATTCGCTCATCGCTGTAAGTAAGCATTGTAACTTTATCGGATCATTCTTATTTTGTTTTGTTTCTTGTCCTCTTGGTTTAACGGTTGGTTTTGTAAACGTACTATCAGGTGCTGTTCACTCTCTGCCTCTGCGATATGATTTTTTTTTTCAATGTCTTTTTTTTTACCCGTAGCCGTTGTTCATGCGATGTTTTGCTACATAGCTCACAACACCGTCTTTAAGAACCTAACATCTGATCCTCTGTTGCAGATATCAAGTCAGAGAAGGCAGCGTAAGGCGCCTCCCGTGCTTCCTTGCCATTAGTGTGGGGTCGACTGTTTCGGCGCCGCGCCGCCAGGGGCGCCAGTGTGGCGCCAGAGCTCCAAAGCTGAACCACTGTGAATACCGCCCGACCGAAGGGCACCGCGCGACGCGTCTTTTGTAACACACCACTGTCTTAGTTAACGGGCTGTCTCTCGCGGCAGAGGCTTGGCGTGTGATGGTTTGCTGGGTCGGCCGCGGGCCGAGCGAAAATCAAACGCGACTTTTAGCACTGCGCGATAGCGAAACACTAGGTTGTATTGTCGCAAGTTTCCTATATGTATCTTTGTATAAGTTACTGTAAGTGTTTCGGACTTCAGAAGAAGCGGAGAACTATGAAATAAATTTTGTATGAAATGCAAACGAGCTTTTGGAAGGTTACAACAAGGAAGTTTAAGTGCCATCACATCAGATCACTTGCACATAGCGTGCCATGGGTAGGTATGTTGACTAGTGTGATGGTACACAAATTTACATAGTTTTGGTTCCTATTCGGGGTTAACAACTCTTCGATTGAAGACAACAGCGTCCGCTGCACTGTGTTTGCAGAATGAATACGAGAGTACGGAGTAGGTACTGAGTGACGCGAGGCTGTACTCATCCGAGATTAACTATTTAATAAAAATGGTAAAATTGACCTTATACTCATAATATTAGATAAATTAATTGAAAAAAGGTCCAGAATATATTTTCGAACTTTGGTTCTTCTTAATTGAAGAACCAAGTTCGAAAATATATTCTGGACCTTTTTCAATTAATTTATCTGATATTATGAGCATAAGGTCAATTTTACCGTTTTTATTTATTACAATCATGCCACAAGAAACGTTGTACCATATAAAACTTAACTATTTATTTTTCCGAGGAATTAAACACGGTTTTGCTTAAACGGGAAACCATATGGACTGACAAGGTCGCAAACGAAGCAGCCCTTGATCTTCATAAGCGGTTATTCATGTTGTGATCCCGCCGCCAGGCTGTCGGAAGCAATCCTACAAGTTGAAAGGCAAAGGGCTGAGCGGCTTTCCCCGAGAGATAAAGCGGGCGATGCTGCACGAAAACTGAGAAGATTGGAACGGGTAATACTTGCTGTGCATCGCCGCGAAATTCCCGCGTTGCTTGGGTCTCGCTGCCTGCGTTGTTGCGGAGTAGGACATTTTAAAACGATTACTAGAAGTGATTTGTTGACGTCTCGTCTTCGCTAGCAGCAAACGTGCCGCGTCATGCGATCAGAGCGCCTATGGAAAAATGGCTTACAGTGTGGATTCGTAATGGTGAGTGTAAATAAGAAATTGCATAGGAGCTTTTCTGTTCAGTTACATTAAAAGCAGTACCCACCACCATCAACTATTCTACGCACATGCTCTGGTGGCAGGCACTTACACGATTATATGGGATCTTACGAGGGCTTGTTTTACGCCTCCGGCAAAATATTCATTCTCCTCACATCGCTAAGCTGTGCAGCTTACAAGGAAGCTCCAAATAGGGAGCTGGCGAGCCGTGCTGTTTTCACTGCGCAGCACTGTCCCAGCTCATCATAACATGCTAGGTAATGCATGTCGTACTGTATGTACCCATGTGGCCGGCTAGCGGCTGTTGCACGGTGCCCCCAAGTCTGCTATCCCTAAAAGTCGCCCAAGGCAATGCCGGAGAGCATGCAGCAGTAACCGAGGAACACTTGTTGAAAACTGCAGGCTGAGGCTGACACTGAGCGAGTAAGTTGAGACTTTGGACGAGCCTTGGTAGCGCCAGAGGCGACAGAGCGGCGTCGCCGGCGGTAATTTCAGAACAGTCCAGAAAACAACTCAACAACTCCCGGTATCAGGCGTTATTACATCTTCTACCCACTCGCTGGTAGTCCAAGAACGAAGCTTACTATCTTCCAGCCGACCAAATGTTGACAACAGCACCGCTGGACTGGAACCATGGGAACTCTTGACAGTTTCTTTGGTATGCGGGGAATAAAACGAGGTGAAACATTTAATTTGCATGGGATTATAGGTATAGGGTAGTGTGGGGTAATTTGAACATATTTTTACGTCTTCTCCGTTGTACCAAATTCCAGTTCAACCCTGGATCAAGAAAAACTGCTTCAGTAGCGCAAGTGTCACTTGCTTTCACCATGCAAGCCTCATTTTTGGACGAGCCGAGCATACCTTGAATAGCATAGCCTCACTTCTCCACCAAGTCACGGTGTGTTCAAATTGCCCAACCGTGGGGTAATTTGAACATACTGCCTTTACCTGTCATAGAAACGATAGTCTCGCCAGCACCGATGTTGTTTGACCTATAAACAAATACGCAGAACAATTCTAAACATACCTTCACTTGAAAAATCAACACAGCAGCAAAAATAACAGTTGCAGAGTATCAATATCTGCACGCTGCACACCGGTCAGTTGACAGAATTCGCCCCTCTTCAATTAACAGAACGTCTATCATTTTTGTTCGATAAAAACTCTCCCAACCGTACTACATCTGTTAAAGTGGTGCCAATCGAAACCTGGACATTTGGAGTTCTGATTTTGTCCAATGTCCAATTCGGAATTGTTTGGACAAAGGTAGCAGACTGGACAATATTGGACGATGGCTTGCTACACTTCAGCGCTTTTTATTAAGTAATCGTGCATAGCATTGATTGGCGAATGGAAAGCTTGTTAAGATCTCAATATAATGAACACTTTTCGGCTGGTAAAATTACATGATAAGCAATATAAATGACGGTTTTGAGTGTTGATAGCTGCATAATTTTCGGACATATTTGGACAAATAGTTGACTTTAACATTTTTGGACGGAAAATCAACAAAAATGCCGGACATTAGACGGATATTAGACGTAAATTTTCTAAAACTGGCATCACTTATCTGCTACTGCCTTGGGTCGAAAATATTGGCAAAAAAAAACTGGGAGCGTTGTTTTTTTCGGAGCTATCCCTGTCTTCATTCAAATTCTCACACTATGTTCAAATTACCCCACGCTAAAAGTTATTTTGCCATTTTAAAAAACAGGGTTCAAAAGCAAATTTCTTGGATTGACGGCGCTGATTAGGTCATTATACAACAAAAGCCGTTGCGTATTAGGCGCTAGCAATGCAAGATTTTGCGCTGCAATGAAGTTGTAATGACGTGTTGTTAGGCGTTTTTCCTTGCGAAATTGATTTTTTACACTGTGCGTCAACATCTTCATTCCCTGAAACTTAAAACCCCGTTCATATGATAGCCCTTTTAGTTACGATAATTTCTCTCATTGGTCTTGTTGTCATGCCACTTATGGATTTTCCGTAATTTTCTGTTATTCACACTATGTTCAAATTGCCCCACATGTTCAAATTACCCCACCCTACCCTATGGATTTTCTGGTATAATAATGTCCCAATTTTCACCTTCTAGCAAATGAGCGCAAGTTAACTCACTTAGAACTGCCTAGTGCCTGGTCAGTTTAATTCCCCGCAAAAAAGTAAGCAATAAATTAGTTATACAATTTCTCGATTACAGCGTTCCCAGATTTCAAGAGCATTTTTTAATGCATCAGCGCCATTAAAGATTGCCTAAAATAACTACTCATCTACTATGGGCTGCCTTGACGGGCAGATCCACGACCTTATTGCTTCAGGAGATAAGACTGTTTTGCTGGCACATGCAAATATTGACGCTATTTGAATGAAGCTCAAAATCCATACACCACGCGCCAGTCCTCAGACGAGGTTGTTTAAATAAACAATGCCTTTCCTATTCCATTAGTGAAGTCTGTTCAATTCAACCGTATAGTTCAGATTGGGAGGCATCTGACTCCCGGTGGTGAAGGCCAGCCTGAGGCCACTGGGCGGCGCTCGATAAGTGAGACCTGCCTGAGCCCGCCTGAGCGGTTGGTGGAAATTCTGCACCAAATATGTACCAGATGGCCGTCATGAAAACGGTCAATAGGTATGTGTTGAGGAGTACATACATCAAACAACATTACATTATACGAATTGTATATTACATCCAAATTTTCCACATTCAAATCTTATAGGTATTATCGCATTCAAACAAGACTTGTTTGGAAGTTGCAACTTGTAACTCTGGAAGTTACGAGCAACAAGTAACAATGCAATAACGCAACACTTCGGCTGCTTCTCTTACGAGTATTTTAAATATTTACAAACAGAACAGTAACGAATGGAGCGCACGGCGCATGCAGTGTAGAGCTTGTGCGGTCACACACAATACCTTTTATCGATAGCGGACAACACGCCGCGTCTATCAGCGTCATTTCCGACTCACACATTCAGGCGTACAACATCACATTCAGCATCAAAATGATTCGCGAGTCGCTAACGACAGACTCACTGCACTGCACGTATGTGACGAATTATGCGTAGCCGTAAATACACAATGTACATGAACAGCATAGCAGCATGCGCCGCGGGTGATGTTACGACAAGCATTTATAGATGGTAGATAGATAGTCATTAGTCACGCATCATTACTTTCACACTGTGTAGCAGTGTTGCAGTGCACATCATCAACAGTAGGTACATACTATTGTGATAAACACATATACAAAGTTCAGCGTCGATGAAATACGGCTTAGGTTTATGAGCTCTTTAAACGAGTTTTTACCAAAGTGCAAGCGCGCACGACTGCAGGGTATTTTCCATAACGCGGCTGACGGGGGGGGTCTACAGAGCCCCTCCCCCTATCTCCGAAACCACTGGGCTGATCGTTAAAATTCAAAAGCTTCTGATAGCCCTGGAAAAACTGTCGAAGGAAACCTAAGTTGATTGACCTAGAGGTCACCAATGACGTCACAGGTCAGGTCAAAGTAAAAATTATTATTTTGGCTTGTTCACAATTTAGGCTCTGGCCGCCGGCTAACAAGTCCGATGAGGCTCATTTTAAGTCGACATATGCCTTAGATACCCTGAGGTAGCGAACTTGTACTTCGAATTTTTCAGGTCAAGGCCAGGTCATCCTAGGTCACAGAAACTTTGTATGATGTATCGGTCACATGACACATGTTTTACGATCCATTTCGGCCATAGATTTCGAAAGCAGTGCCGTTTGTGTCATTTGAGGCCATTTTCAGCTGAATATAGCTGAGGTCAGGTCACTTTCAAGCTAAAAAAGGCCAAATTTTGAAGTTGAAATTTTTCAACAAAAAAGGTGTCGATCAGATGCAGTTTGAGCTCAGAAACACGACGATTCTATTTAGTTTGTTGTACAATGTCAAGAACGTACTGAAAAATTGATTTGAAAAAATTGGAAACGGTGAAATATTGTCTATAAAGCGTATAACTCAGCTATTTTTGAAGATATCAGGCTAAAACTTCCTAGAGTAGATCATTGGTATATGCTCTAGCACATATATTCCTGTTTTGTTTTTGAAAATAAAAAATAAACAATTTGTTTTAGATTTTGTATGTAAAATTTTCAAAAATTTTGACATCTTGAAAATCCAAGATACCAGTTTGTTAGCCCTCTGTACTCTGACTTCTGAGTCCTCTCATGCAAAAAAAAATCTAGCTTAAGAACTGAGCTCTTTAGAGCGATTGCCGTATAGTTTAATGTTTTGCATCAAAGTCGGCCGACATGACGTCACTCTGACGTCATTTACAGCACACCTATGGTAGCTACAAAATGTTACTTTGGACACTATAGTTCGTTTTTTTTCAAAAGGACGCTGGCTCCAAGTATGTTTTTCGAACAAGCACGTGTTTTAGCGAGCAAAACGGGCAAAAACTGAACCTGAGAAACTCGAACGTCGCCTTATTTTAACATGTGAATTATTCCCGATAAATTTCATGCCTTCGTTTTGGAGCTAGACATGAGAACAGTGGTGACGTCATGCTGTGGAACTTACATTGCAATGCAATGCATAACTATCATGGAAAGAATCGCTTACTCGATTCGGGCCTCGGTAAGAGCAAAAAACGAAGTTTTCCCAAAATTCGTTGGCAATGAATGCTTTCGTACGGACATTAGGTGCCAGCTGCCACCAGTGACGTCATCATAGTATGCTCATTTTTGAAGTCACAATTTACATGTATTTGCCGAGCACAATTTGAAATCGATCATTTTTTCGGCAAGAAATTCTTAGCCAGATGCTGAAGTTGCCAAAACTCACGTGAGAGCTTCGATAATGAACTTTGAGCCAGCGTCCTTTTGAAAAAAAACGAACTATAGGTGTCAAATTAATGCAGCCGAAGGCACTGTAAGTTTCGTGTAAATATACGTCCAGCGGCTTGGAAGATATTGCAGAAAAACGAGAAGCCTCTGTAAAGCCTCTTTCACCGTCTTGTGCGGCTTAATGAATTAACGCTTTTCAAACGTTTGTATGTGTGTGTGTGTTTTTTTTTTTGCATTATAATTGACATACTTTTGCTTGTTTCCATAAAGTTCATCTGGTCTATCCATGAAACATCGTCCATTCATTGATATGTATAATTATACATTATTTCTTGAAATACCTATTCGCATTTCATCTTTAACCCGCGCCGTGCTGGTGGCCTGAACTTTCCGCCGAGTGCTGGGGGGGGGCGTTTTCACGCCCCCCCCCCCCGTCTAACTCGGCTCCTGGGCCACGTAGCGACACGCGGTAAGCGGCAATCGAAAGAGCGTCAAAAATAAGGACGAAAACACTTCGGTCATTTTTTGGGTCAGGTCAAAGGTCAGGTCACCAGAGGTCACCAAAGGTAAAATGTTGACTATTTCAACATTTTGGAAACTGCCAACGGCTATCTCGGGAACCGATAGAGCTACAGCGCCGCGGAAAAGCGCATTCGATAGCCCTTTTACAGACCTTTCTGAGTAATGTTCTCAGATTTGACCTCAGGTCAACGGTTTAGCCTCCAGAGGGCAAAAACTCCAAAAATAGCCGTTTTTACGAAAAACATTTTTTCGTCAATAACTTTTGACTCATAAGCGCCATGACATTACTTTTGCCAGCATCGTGTTCCTCTCGTCGAGACGCGTCGAATGAACTATTCGTTGACCTTGAAAGGTCATTTTGAAAATTTGACCTCAGGTCAAGGTCATGACCTGACCGAAAAGGATCATGTTGCATATCAGTCGATCCGTATCGTCGAGCTGAACACATCTGACGTGTTTTCACCGCTCTAGCACGTCTCTATCAAAAGTTATAGCCAAAAAACTGCTGGCGACCAATCATGACCTGAGATGACCTCAGGGGCACACAGAGGGGTCACTGGTGCATTTTTCCTATTCAGTGTGTCATGTTTACCTATGAACCGATGTTTGAGAGCGTTTTGAACGATATTCGTCCAAAAGAGGCGCATTTCAATTTTCTCCCATTGACTTATAATGGAGAGGTCGCAAAATTGACCTGACCTTAGGTCACAGATATCAAAAATCCGAGATATACATTTTATACATACTGTTACTCATATCAATCGCTGAAAGTTTCAAAGTGATCGTTCAGTCGGTGTAGCTATAGCGAGCTTTTGAACTTTTTCTGAGGTAAGGTCACTTGACGTGACCTGGTGACCTGACCTTGAACGGCCTAGGTCTGAAATTTTCACAACATGTGCGGAAATGATGTAGGAACACGTGTACCAAAAACGGCGGCGCTGCGCGCCGCCGTTTTTGAGATATTCGCGAAAAACCTGAGGGGGGGGCGTAAAAACGCCCCCCCCCCCAGCACGGCGCGGGTTAAACAGCAGCATTGCGAAAATATTCGTGATTTCGTTCCTTACCGCAAATAACCACACAATCGAGCAACCAATTAAATTTCCCTGTTTTGAGCGCTATAGACCGAACAATCCAGCAGAGTGAATGTTCCGGCGGCCAAATGTCACTCATGAGTGCGTTGCCTGATGAAGCCGTCCATCATGCTCAGCTCTGGGGTTAATGTGGCGCACACGAGGCGTTCAGAGTTGCACCAGGGCGCTCAGACTCCAGTCAGCAGCAGGCGAGAACGTGGCTAGGCCTGAGGCGTCTGTGACGCTGCAGTGTTTTTCTCGAGGCAAACGCTCGGAGCCTGGCGTTGCCCTGCGTCAGATGATAGTGGCAGGTGCTGCTCTCCTGCCTTTACAATTGATTCGAAGCACGTGTCACGGTGCACCGAGCATGGAGCCGGCTGGCCGCTGGGTCTCCTTCCCGCTGTAGCGTCTGGTCTGTAGCACTTTCTGTTGTAGCAGATACGTACAGGCGACGACTGGTGGCCTGTCCTGTCGTTACAGCTGCTCCGTCCTGCGGTTATGGTGCGGCGGACACAGGAGACGGCTGGTTGTCCGTCCTGCCGTTACATGTTTCAGCAGAGAGGCCGGGAAGTGTGGTAGGGTCCGTGATCTTCGTCTGTCTCATCTGTAATAGAGAATCAGCAGAGATCAGCAGAGTCCGCGAAGATCAACAGAGGTCAACATAGGTCAATAGATGTCCAAACAGGCCAACAGAGTCAGTTACATAACGGGTGATTTTTCGTTTTCCTGGGCTTGTTTTTACAGCCAATATCGCAGGCCTACCCGAATAATCACAAAATATGTTATGCCGTGGGATATGGTCATGCCGGCAATGGCATGAGTCGATAGCTAATGTTCAGTATTTATCGGATGTATCTAGCTATTCGATGCCCGGTTGAATATTCTGCTCTCCTAGTTTATCATACCCAACCACATTGCGGAAGCTCAAGCCAAGCCTAGCGGCAGAGAGCCCTCAAACCCGGATATTGAGCGGCGTCGGCGACCGATACGGTCCCAAATACCCACACGGCCGCTGGCAAAACCAGCCAATTCCAACAGTCTCCAGCGAACGCTGACGGAGTCCATGCCATTGCCATTGTGCCGCGGTTTTGGTAGTTGACACGAAGTTGCCGTTTGTTTTGGTTGATTGTTTCTGCTGCCCAATGTACCTATCGCAATTAGGCTTATAGCTGAAGAAGTTGTAGGTTTATACAGCATTCAACTGGCAACTTAGAATATCGCTAAGAAGTAAGATTCACTGAAGAACTACTTACGGAGAGCTGCGATGGCGCCGGTCCGCCCCCGGCCGCCTCGGCGTACTTCTGGTACTGCGAGATAACGCACACCAGGCAGAGCAGCTGTCAAATGTCCCAGAGCGGAGTTAGCTTTCAAAGTGGAGCATCGCCACAAACGTGGTGAAACGCCTCGCTTCATATGCACCGGACATTATGATAAAGGAATAGGAAAACATTATCAACAAAAGGCACACTGAGCCGAAATCCGAACTAGTAGTTAGGCTTCCCCGTGTATTCCGTATCAGCTGAGGCAAGAAAATCAGTGCTACAGCCTACAGCTATAAATATAGAATAAAAATAAGAACTGTAGCTAAAAAACGGCGTCGTGCGTGACGACAGCCTTGAGCCTTCCCCGTGGAGCCTTTATATTAAAAAAACAGATATATTCATGCATTCAAATATATTATTTTTGAATATACTTGAATGCATTTGTAATAATTTGTTTATTATTTACATCGTCATCCAACATACAAACAAACATACATTGCATACACACATAAAACGTATTATACAGCACCGTAAATACGAAGCAGCCATTTCGCATGTCGTTCGATACTCACATTTATGCCTAAGACCACGGTATCTATTATGCAAAGCGATATTGTTTCCGAGCTGATCGTATGGTACGTCCTCTGAAACAGAGAAAACAACATTGAACTATGGTCATACTCCACTTCGTAAGTGATAACCGCTAAGGCAAAAGCAAGTTAGGTAATACCTACCGCTTGTACTGTGCAACGACGAGTAACATTCGGAAACAGTAATGTGCTATATCAGGCGACTGCCACGACGTAAGAGATCACGTTATAAGGAAGCAAGGGATACTATGTCTGTCATTTTACTATCATCCAGTGGCGCAGCCAGGGGGGGGGTCAGAGGGTCAGCTGACCCCCCCGAAATTTCTGTCAGGGGCCCGCTCGAGAGAGAGAGAGAGAGAGAGAGAGAGAGAGAGAGAGAGAGAGAGAGAGAGAGGGAGGGAGGGAGAGGGAGGAGAGAGGTCCTAATCTAACCGGACGAGAGAACTGGCCTGACCCCTGGGAGAGCGGGCCCGGGCCCACTGGGTGGATGGGGCCCGGGCCCCCGTGGATGGGGCCGTGCCCCCGGGAGAACGGGCTTAGGGCCCCGGGTGGACGGGGCCCGGACCCCCGGTTGGATGGGGCCCGGGCCCCCGGGAGAACGGGCCCGGGCCCCCGGGAGAACTGGCCCGGGCCCCTGGGAGAACGGGCCCTGGCCCCCCGTGGATGGGTCCGGGCCCCGGGAGAACGGGCCCCGGGTGGACGGGGCCCGGACCCCCGGTTGGATGGGGCCCGGGCCCCCGGGAGAACTGGCTCGGGCCCCTGGAAGAACGGGCCCGGGCCCCTGGGTGGATGGGTCCGGGGCCCCAGGAGAACGGGCCCGGCCCCCGAGAGAATTGGCCCGGGCCCCCGGGAGAACGGGCCCCGGACCCCGGGTGGATGGGGCCCGGACCCTCGGGTGGCCCCCGGGAGAACGGGCCCCGGGCCCTCGGATTGATGGGACCCGGGCCCCCTGGTGGACGGGGCCCGGACGGCGGACCCCATCTACTTCGTGACCCAAACTACTTCGTGAATGTTCAAATGGTTGCTAAATTCGGATTCAGCTCCAAAAACTAGCCTAGAAACATGTATAATTCGAAAAAGTACCGAGGTCATCATAAGTCAATGACCTGACCTGACCTTCAGGTGACCTTGACACCCTGACAATGCATGGGAGCAGCATAAACTCACTGTTTGAACGCTTAAAACCACGAAAAGACTGCAAACGCGCGGCTAATGCGAGCCGGCATACGCCGAATCGCGATTCTGCCCAAACATGGTCTCGGAAAGTAGATCACAGGTCAAAGGTCATTTGAGTCAGGGTCATGCAATTTCTAGGGTAGGTGTAAAACTGATCAACGCGAGAGTACTAAAAGTGTTGTCGCGATCGACCGCTTTTTACGCGAGTTATTCGCGAAACCCCTTAGGGGGTTGCATCATCCCCTCCCCCTGTGCCGGCGAGGGTTAAAACTTCTTGTGAGCGAATTCACGTAATGAAAAAGGATAAAGGCACAATATTCTACAGCAGCCAATAGATGACTTAGGACAGGCACATGGAACTACTTAAATCTTGTCCGAGAGAAGCAGGCAACAGCTCCGTTTGCATATATGCTATGCATACCTATTGGGGAAGGGGCACATTTCGGCATCGAAAGATACGTATTCATACCTCATAGTAACATATTTCTGTCATGGTCAATTCACGTAGAAATTGAACACCGGGTGATTACCGAGCTATTGTTCTATCAAAATTTTCCGATTCAATCTCGCTCAGGGTTATCGTGTGTAGGTGAAGGGGGCCCGTTCTGCAGAATGCGTATGAAATATGGAAAGATTCTGAAAAATGGGTGGGGGCCCGCACACTAGGGGGCCCGCTTTGGAGGTGATGACCCCCCCGAAACGAAATCCTGGCTGCGCCACTGCTATCATCTGACATCTCATGTTTGAAAATGAGAAGTGAGAGTGACCCTCTTTTATTTCCTCTTTAACTTTTCCTTGAAATGTGTCTAAAAGAAGCATAACTAAGGAGCAATAACAATGCGGCAAACATTCAAAAACCGCACGAATTAAAATTGTGAAAGTGATCCTCACAGGAAATGAACGCCTAATTGTTGATACCTACCCTAAAAACCTGAGTTCAAAGAAGGTGGGCTAGACTAAACTTCTAGCCGATGTAAATTACTCAGCTGAAAGAAATTGAAATAATTGATCTTCGGGCGTCTGTGCTGTAAAACTTAACGTGAATTAAACCTTAACATAGCCTATATAGGTCAAGCAAAATGTCTGAAAAAACTATGCCAACACAAACTTGTCGGTATGCAATGCAAATGTCTAAAAGTCCCTGCTGACTAAAAAAAGTCCCTCAGCGACTAAGCCGTTAAGTTCAGTTCGCTCCTTTTTACCAAGATCCACTGTCGCATTAAAAAAATAGCTTCACTGGTGTAAATCTAAAGGTATGTATGTACAGCTCAGATCTCCCATCCAGTTAGGAACCCCGCGCATCAAGTTCTAATGAAAACCATTCAAGAGCAACGCAAACCAAACAAGCTAGGGGAATCATTTGCTCCCACCGATTGCGGTTACCGCAGTTTTCGAATGAAAACTACAACCAAACTTTGTACATATGCAGCCCCACATTCTACGGTACATTTTAAGCGACCTTTGGTGCCGCCTGAACGGCTTAGCAGCACCTTACGACCGACGGCTGCAGACTCACCACATCCAGCACCACGCGCGTCAGAAGCACCGCCTGATCAAGGAGAGCCGTGCAGGAGAGAATAACAACGAGAGGCACCAGCAGCCTCCGCCGTCCCTGCAAACAGCCATATACCGCCGCCAGGCCACGGGTCAGCCTCCGACACAAAATTGGACGCGGATGGAGCGAGCACGGGCCTATTTGGGCACCGCACGCGGTCCGAGCGGCGTGAAATGGCCCTCGGAGGCGCTCTCTCTCTGTCCCCGGGAGATTGGGGGTAAGAAGTGATCAACACCGCAGACTGCGAAAACAACGCCGTGACGGCCGCAGGAACCATCGCTCTGGAGCGCGCGGCAGCAAATGGGCACCGAGTCCGCTCAGCGTGGAATACAAATACTTGGGCTGGCCTGTCATATCATAGCGTTTTGCAGGGCAGGTAGGAGTACCGTGAAACGCGGTAAAATAGCGCACGTAAAGTATCAAAAAAGTACATTTTACCTTGGCTAAGCCGATGACCAGGAGTATTGATGACGTCACTCCAGCCACGGATAATACCATCAGAAGTACGAGCAGACCTGGAAGAACAAAAAGAAAAGTTCATGCTGTGTTCTATGCTTAAAGCTTATACCATACAGAGGGCGCACTGAGAAAAAAAAATTATTCCCCAGGGGTGTTTTACGGGTGTCAGACACCATTGGAGGTGTCATCGAACACCCAGATTGGTGTTGAAAAATGCTGTTTAGGGAATCATTAAGGTGTACAACACCACGATGACACCCTTTCAAGTGTCCGTTCGCATGCGAGTGTTTAGATATACCTTAATGGGATTCAGCATGACACCTTAATAGGTGTCCGACACCCACACCCATCCGGGTATCAAACACTCTAAGGTATCAAACACCCTAAAAGGTGTCAAAAATGTTCTTTTAAAAGCATCTGACACCCTTATGATGCCTTCACATGTGTTGCCATTTATTGAAGCGGAATGTTAAAAGTGTCCGACACTGCTAAAGGTGTCACATTGACACTTGCAAAAGGATCTGACACCAAAAACAGCGTGAAAAAATGAGGAAAAATATTCCCATGGGGTGTCTCATGGGTGTCGGACATCATTGCAGTGTCATATATAACGCCCAGATTGGTGTCAAAAATGTTGTTTTGGGAATCATGGAGGTGTACAACACCACGATGACAACCTTCAAGTGCAACGCGCTTTTAAACACACCATAATGGGATTCAGAAAGACACATTAATGGGTGTCCTACACCAACATCCATTCGGGTGTCAAACACCCTAAACCATCAACACTTCAAAAGGTGTAAAAAAATGTTCCTTAAAAGGGATCTGATACCCTTGTGATACCTTCACGTGTGTTGTCATTTGTTGAGGAACATTCCAGCATGAGTCATGAAATGTTTGAAAGCTGTCGTGTATTCGAACCTAAATCATTACATAAATTGTTCTGACGTCACTTGTGTTAGGAACCAGGGATGCGGTGTCTAACGGATTTTCAGTGACTCGGACTCCCGCTCTGTCTTCCAAAATGGACTCCTATTCCGGCCAGAACTGCCAACTCCATCAGACTCCGACTCTGACTCCGTAGCACTGCTAGAAACCACAGCAGGTCCAGTGGTTTGAATCATTACCCAATCAGCAAGCTGCATTGTGTGACGTCATTTGTGTACTGGTCACGGCGTCAACCATGCGTGATGCGAAGATCAAAAAGCGCCACCTTGCAGGAAAGCCGTTAGATTTCAGTTGGCGGCGGCGTGACCACGTGTTGCGTGTGGGGTGTGAGTGATGGAGGGCTTTTTTGAATTTATGTGGATATAGTGGCGCCGAACGTTGTTCGCAGTGTACTTCTTCAAGTGATTGTGCGTTAATGATAATGTTTAGCTTTTATTTGTAGCTTGCTCCTTGTTTATTCAAATGACGAGGCGGCCGGTACTCGGTGAAATTTGAAGACTGGAGTGAGGATGACAACACAGCATTGCACCATGGAAACGAAAGCAAGTGAACTGCGGAATAACATCTGGTTGGAGATAATCGACGGCTAATTATCATTGCTGAAGCCTGAAATGCGAGCAACTTCTCACTGTGAATGGACTCGATGTGTTTCGGTGAGTTTTCATTGGATTTCTCCGTAAATATAGAGCCCATATTTTTTGTACTTTATATAGTTTGTTGCTGTATACAACATAGGAATGCCATCTTGCGATATGTATGCGATATGCCTGTTTGAACCAATAAATGTAAGAATGTGTCGACACCTTTTTTGGCATCCAATGGACACTCTCGTAACACCTTTAAGGGTGTGTACCAAACTGCACCTCGCTGGGGTGTCAGACGGGTGTCACTTTTGACACCAATACAGGTGTCATTGGGAATCAAACACCGGGTGTCTGACACCCTTTTGGGTGTGCACCCAAAAGGGTGTCAGACACCTAAAAGGGTGTCAGACACCCGGTGTTTCATTCCCAATGACACCTGTATTGGTGTCAAAAGTGACACCCGTCTGACACCCCAGCGAGGTGCAGTTTGGTACACACCCTTAAAGGTGTTCCAGGGGAATAATTTTTTTCTCAGTGCGGCATAAGCTTTAGGGCGGTATAAGCTTTACCGTACTGATATCATCAGTTGGCTGTTGGGCTGTGGTTTATCGGTACTGTAACTGTGACTGTGACGTGATTGATAGTTCCATTGCTAGCTGTTCCACGACATCTAAGATTCTTTGCTGTGTCATTGGGTTTCAGCGGATCCACCGATGAGAAAATAACGCTTGATTTCACTCAGTGTCCCGGTGCAATGGAGCAGTGCAGCGTGAGTTCGACGGTCACCATATCTTGCCTTCCTTCTGGGACAAAACGGTGAAATGATAACTGAAGGTAAATTCAACGACGTGAAGTTTGCTTCCTCACGATTATTCGTCTGATTGTTCTACATCTCAATAAAAAATGGGAATGAGCAGAACCTCATTTCACCAAAAGCTCCGCGACAGGGGTCCCGTATTCAGCTACCATGGTTTAAAGTGCACCCATCACGTGCGTGGCACACGTGACTCACCGGCCGGCACGTTGGACGGTGACGGGTAGATTGACTCTCCGGTCGGTGGCCGTGACGGTGCCGGCTGTCCCGGAGCTGTTTCTACAGGTGACCGGCGCTCCGCGTCTGCCGCGGGCAGTGAGGGCCCCCCTCCCGCGGCCACCACCAATGTCTCAGAGTCGGGAATCAGTAACGTCAGGGTGGCTGTGAGAAGCGTCATGGTGAAGTAGATCTGTCGATCACACAAAAACGTAAGGTTTGTCGGTAAAACACACCGAAGATTCATATGCTCCTTATTACTACCTAAGCACTGTCCTTATTCATGTAACAAAAGCAAAAAATATCAGACATTTAGGTAATTGAAAGTTTGCTCACAAGGAAAGTTCGCAAAAACGTGCTTCTGATTTTTAGGTTTCAGCCCGTCTCATTCAATCAGCGTCATCGTGTCAAGAATCCAAAGCAGTGCACGCGCCACGCACCACACGGTCTCTTTGGTTTACAACTACAGGGTGTCCCAGAAGTCTTGAAGCTTTTTTATTTTTGTCGTGTGACCTTGTTATGCCACTGATTAAGGCAAATGACGCCTCAAACGAAAGAGAATGAACTGAAGTTTTGTATCCTGTTTTGTATTTTCATGCCTAGAGCACCACCAAAGTCAGGTGGCCCCCGTTGTGAGTCGCACAAGATTGAGCACGAGAGATCACGTTCTTCGCTGCCGCCAAGATCTCCCGGTTTGCGAAACACCGGTGTCGCCATGCCCGTTTCTGGTCAGCTTCAGAGCCTTATTTCATGAAGCGAGCCAGAAACAGAGCATTAGATCTCCGAGAAAACATTAGCAACATAATGATTTACTGATCAGAAAGTCTCCTGACATGTTTGCACGCATCCATTACAAAAATAAGGCTCAGCTGCTTGAGCGCGCTAAGCAACAGCCCGTTGTAATCCTTTGATTCGTCGCATTATTATGGTGCTAAAACAAATATCACCCCGTCGCAAATATATGTCGCTAATATTATGTCGCTCGCTTCAGGGAATATGACTCTGAAGCTGACAAGAAACGGGCATGACGACACCGGTGTTTCGCAAACCAAGAGATCTTGGCCAGGGCTGCGGAGTCGGAGTCGGAGTCGGAGTCGGTCGGAGTCGACAGTTGTGACCGGAGTCGGAGGCGGAGTCGGAGTTGATTTTAGAAACCCGAGCCGGAGTCGGAGTCGGAGTCACCGAAAATCTGTCGACTCCGCAGCCCTGCTAGGTCTGCGGAGTCGGAGTCGGGAGTTGGAGTCGGTCGGAGTCGACAATTCTGCCCGGAGTCGGAGTCGGAGTCGGAGCTGGTTTTTGAATGCCGGAGTCGGAGTCGGAGTCGGAGTCGCCGAAAATCCATCGACTCCGCAGCCCTGATCTTGGCGGCAGCGAAAGACGTGATCTCTCGCGCTCGTTCTTGTGTGACTCACAACGGGGGCCACCTGACTTAAGTGGTGCTCTACGCATGAAAATACAAAATTTCATTTCATTCTCTTTCGTTTGAGGCATGATTCGCCTTAATCGGTGGCATAGCAAGGTCACACGACAAAAATAAAAAAGCTTCAAGACTTCTGGGACACCCTGGTTAACAGTGTGATTTCCGTCTCATACTGCAGCACTCATTTTATTCAAGCAGTGGGTAGAAATGAAAGGATGCGTTTTAAGAAGGCGCTGAGCACTGAATGCCTGAATAGGACACTTACCGAAGTGTAAAATGCCACGCAGAAGCTGCCAGACCGCACCGAAAAGCAATTACAGCAGCATGATTCAATTATAGCCATTTTCTTCTGCTGACCTGCGAATAAAATACCTATTCATCATGGATGGCCAAAAAATGTATTTCAAACATTGACGCATATATGTTTGTGCATGGCCATGGCCACTTTATATCTTAGCGCAGGCTATAAGGCAGTGCCCAAGGCAGCGCAATGCCGGTGATGATTTGATAGCATCCACCAATATGTAAAACGGTTATGAGCACACAATGCGACCGTTATCCTTTCATGCATAAGATAAGACAGTCTGTTAGCAACATGATGCGAGTTCCGTTCGCCGCTCCGCCGTTTGCCCGTTTGACATTGAGCGCCGAGGTCTGGCAGACTGGAATTTGCTGTCCCGAAGTTTACTCTCCCCATGCAATCACTTCCGAAGTCCCGACTATACGTTAACGCTGCAAGCCCGAGGGACTGGTTGGTCAGACTCGACCAGCCACCCCGCTACAATTCAATTCACTGCTGCGAAAAGCAAAGCTTCACGTGCCAGAGCTATGGTGTGGACGGATAGCAGTCTGCAGGACCGTTTATCAAACACGGTTGTCATTGCGATCATTTGCCATGATTGTGTTCAGAAGTAGCCAAACATGTCACAAACGAAATGTAGGTACTCAAAATACCGTGCTTACCATAGAGTGGACCGGTTCGGCCCCCAGACTATTTTCTGTTCTTTTTGAAAGATGCTTTGAACTACGATGGCTGAGCGAGTTCCAAAAATTCATTAGGAGTATTGGGAATATTGCGTTAGCAATACCCACAGTGTTGTGGAAAAACAACATGATTGTGTCGGTCTCTCGCACGGTGCTTCTGTAGAATTAGTTTCTAGGGGCATGTTTTCGCTAAAGCTCGCCGCATTTCGTTTTGCTTTCCAGAGTTCATTTGGGACTGCAATTGGCTTACTTAATATTAATGAAACTTAAATGATTAGTCAGGCTCTGATGTAATTGGATGTTGCGTTATCTGAATTTCAGAAATGCTCATCAAAGATTCGAACTGTGGCATTCAAAGCAATTATCTGCCTATGACAGGGCTTCCTGCTGCGTTAAACATTGAAATCCGTTGATAACACGGCATAAAATAACCGACTGAAGCTGTCGCGAAACCATTTGAGTAGCTGCATTAATAAACCATCTTGGAGCAATGCCTACTGCGATGGTTTCGTTGCGCGTAAAATTACTGCATCCGATTAATTGAAACGCCTTTTTATGGCCACGGGGACCCGCAGGTGCTACCATATACGAACCCCATCTCCAGCCGTCCGCCCTGTCTAGCAGAGCAACTGGTAACATTGATATTGACTGCACCGGCCTCTGTATAGATAACAGCATCCGAAGTTTTCTCTACGTGCCTTCTGACAGCTTATAGTGTTGTTCCCTGTGAAGGTGCTAGGACAATTTACTCAGGACCGCTGCACTGTTACAGTAGCAACTGCGGGGCCACAGACCTGGCAGCTCAGCCGTTTTTATTGCATCGTTTTTAGTATGCATGGGCAACATTTATGCATTTTCCCATACCTGCTACATTGCATGATTAATTCGAGACATCCAGGCATTTTAATGGCACGTGCACTGTACCACACTTTTCAAAGTTTAATGCAGTGCTTTAATATTGCCAGCCGTGTGGTTCAAGGGGTGTGGTTAAACGCGTTGAACCACACGGCTGCTGACGTCACTATCAATAATAGTTGTGAGCTTTTTGGCAGGTATGGGAAACACCTTCCAGCCCTAAGGCCGGGAATTCAATAAATGTCACCTCGCTTTTTTAGCGAAAAGCACCTCGGGCCTAACGGCCCTCGGAGTTTTCGCTAAAAAACCTCGGTGACATTTATTGAATCATCCCGGCCCCGGGCAGGAATATATTGACGCATACTGTTGCTTTGTGCAGTGGAGCTGACGCATGCATGCTTAATGATACATTGGCACCGGTCATTAAAAATACCAAAAACAAGGAATACAATATGCCCTATAGACTAAATGTTACAAAAAGATGGTGAATAACTTTTAGAGTTGCAAAATTTTCCCAATGGGCTGCTACCGGCACCGCCCCGCCCCACAAAAATTTTCTGGGATACCGGCATGCTACCACGCCACAAGCAAAAAAGCCGCCAAATTACCGGCATACTAAAAAACCTGCATTCTTGTTTCTGGCTCCTACCCTTACATGAGATGCCACATTTTGGCAATTTCAGTAACCGCCCCACCCAGCAGCCACCCATTGTCCAACCAAAACTACCAGCATTACTAATTGGTTGTGCTTTTGCAACATGAATTAGTATTCTTCCTTTGATAAACCACAGTCATAGATTCTTGACAATTCCATTTAGAGCCAAACCTGTGAAATGCTGAGGTTCATGTGTTACCCCTACCCTTAGCAATGGAACTCCTACCACAACATGCATTTTGCAGTGGCGAAAATTGCTGTTAATACAATTCAATAGCCTCTTAGTGTCCAAAGTTTGAATCATATGCTGATAATTTTTTGGTGGAAAATCAAAAATACCGGCATGCTACCGGCAAGACATGCCAGATACCACGAAAAAACCTGCGGCAGTGAAAAAATACCGGCATGCCGGTAGTGCGGTAGGGAAATTTTGCAACTCTAATAACTTTCTTTAGGTGAAAAATAAGTAAATCAAGCTCTATGACATCCTAATCCTACAAATGCTACTACTTCAAAAAATAAAAATAAATAAATAAAAACCTAAATAAAACGCATTCAAAGTTGATCCATTCCTTTGAATCAAAATGTTTCGGTATAGAAGCATTTGAGATCATTGAAAACAAATGTTTTTTATTACAAACTTTACCCATAATCAGTCTAAAAACTAATAAACGTCTAGTCAGCTTTGACAGGATCAGCTGCAGCGTTAGCGGATAAATCTCAAATCCTCTGCAATATTTCATACCGAAGCCTGGCTAGCAATGACAAATGTCAAATGTCACTACGGATTCTCTGAGGGCCGTAATTGAAGTGAAAAAGAGCGTGAGATATTTAGCCTGATCTTAGCTCTTCGATCCTGTTCACTGTTCAGTTCACGGGCGTGGTGCAACGCTTTCATTGCGTTGCGACTCTATGGTAAGTGCCCACGAATACGTAATGTTTAGTGAGCGGGTGATTTAGAACAGCTAGCAAAGAGGAGGAATGGGATAGTTCAGATGACCGTCATTGAGGGAAGCATACTTCCTTGCGGTTCCCGTTGGGTGCTGATGCTTCATTGACAAGTTAACTGCTGGGTAGCTGTATTAGGAATCACTTAAGGATCTACTCTAAGTCAAGGAAATCACTAACTTGTTAGGATTAACCTCCGAAAATTAGAACGTAATACGTAGTGCATCGCAACGCCTAGTCAAGGCATCCTCTAACGTGTTAGGCTGCATGAACCACCATTCGTTGGCTTAAAGCATACCATAACCATATAGAATCTCCGCCAGTACGAGTATCAAGCATGCTAGGTGTCAAAGGCTTGATAGGAATTTAATGGAAGTATGCGTTCGAAAAGTATCAAGTAATTAAAACACTGACTGATGTGTCACTGCTGTATAGGGGCGCCATTGTGCTTTCAAATTATATCTTTACCTGCTGTCAGCAAAAACGACAACGTACAATATAAGACTTTCGGACATCAGAAGGTATAAAAGATTATAGGAACACAAAAGACAATTAGCAAAGGACCTAACACGTTGTGGGTTAAGAGCACCAGCATCGTTTGCCCAGAAGCAGAAACCGGAACGCTCCCAACAACGCCTGCTCTTTTAGCATGTAAATTACTTACCAGATGATTGCTGACTACCGCGTAGCCACTTCTCGTAACAAGAGCCAATGACTTGACTATCGGTCAGGATAGTGATCCACTTGCGATTCTCTGTCGTGATCCGCGGAGATCAGGCGACCCGGGCTGCCCCGGCCGTCGGTGTCGTCCCGCCTCCCCGGCCTGCCGACGCCACCCCCGTCGGAGGTAGTCTACTCCTCGCGGCGGCGAGCTCGGCAGCCGGAGCTGTGAAGGTTCGTTGGCGGCGGTGGACAGGCGTGCGCAGTGCCCGATCGGCAGGCTCAGTTCCGCGGTTCAAAGGTACTTAACAGGGTGTGAGAGATACGAGGATTTGAAGCTCGAATATGCACATTTTATACTTTTGGAAGAGGCCTATCAACGTTATGTGGTAAAGTTTACAACTTGCTTTTAATTTTAAACAGCGATCAGTAGTTGGTAGCTTCATATGTTCAACAAGTAGCAGCTGCAAAAGAAGTGAAAGAAAATCTGAGAAAAGAACGTCCGAGACCATCCCACCAATTCATCGCCGCGAGTCCTGGTATACTGACCCGTCCTACAGTGGTGTCTTGCGGTACAGCCTACCCATCTGCAGCCAGGCTGAAGAACCAACTCGTCCAGTTCGCCGTGAGCCAAATATTACCGACCCCTGAGGCTGACCTGATCTGCGCTGACAGGCTGGCGAAGAGAGTGGTGTTCGAATAGACGTGAAAGGAGTCCATAAAAATGCATATCTAATAAAACATTCTTGTGAGAGCGCTTGTTACTTTCCATCTAAGTGCTGGTGATAAAATCGTACGCTGTTTTTCACCCTTTGAGTAATCACGGTAAATTGACGTAACCGGCTCAAGTTTTTCACACGGTGGTGCGCGGAAGGCTGCCCTTTTTGGCTTCTGTTTACCCCGACTGCGGAACGGTCAGGCCTCTGGCCTGTCGATAGTGTTTGGCGGAGCGCTGATGGTAGAGCTCACGGGTAATAGCATCGGGCAGCGGGCGGCACTAATACATTACCCAAAAGCTGCGTATTTTCTTTCTCAATGCAGGCTTTGCAAGTGTAATGCTGCACCCTGCGAACTGCTCATGCTAATGTGAGAAAAACACTGGAATTCAAGAGTAAAATACCTCAATGACGGCTTGTATTTAGCACGAGCAATAAATGTCTGCTATCAAACTGCTATCCAATAAGAGGGCAATGTGAATAATGAGAAGTTGTTTTTCCAGTGATTCGTAGGTAATAACTGTATCTTAATTATATATATAAAACCAGGTAACCGTTAGTTCGAAGTTCCTTATAACTCCAAGTTATATTTTCGTTCAGTCCTTTTAGCAAATGTGACGGAATACCATGTGGCATACTTAGCTATTATACCAAGCAGGCACTGTTTTAGAAAGGCTGTGAAACAGGCGGCTGCCTTTTGCTGTTCGTCTTTCCACATACCTACTTACGCATACCTATCCATTACCTACTACTCAACCAAACTTGTTTTTTTTTTTTCTTTGAGTTGCGAGCTGTGATGCATATTGCATTTACTTCTTATCCTCTTTCCTCGTGACACATTTGTTTTAATACTAAAATACGGGAGCCTCACATCCAGTACCTACAGGCTACACTTCGCTCGCTTCAAAGCCAAACAAACAGGATATACTGTATTGACGTTCCCTCCATCACCTGAAGTCTTTCAGCGTGTAACGTCCGCGGGCTGCGACAGAGCTATACAAAGAAAAACATCAACTATTGGAAATTCGACGGCTGCTGGGCGAATGTGTCTTATCATAAATCATTGGGTGAATGATAATGCAAGCATAGGCGGCGGAACGGGGAGGGCACCGGGCACCGTGCCCCCCTTAGATTTTGGCATTTTAAGATCCTCGCATGTGTGCGGCATTTGCCAGCTTCTAATGTGTAGGGGGGGGGGGGTCGGTTGGACCCCCCCCCTTGCCGTTTGGCCCCTGATCGAGCTAGAGCTTCGCGGAAAAAACGAGCGTGTTGCCCGTGACGAGAGGAAGCCGATGATACCCAACTTTAAAGTCCTAGGTCATCGGTTGACCTTCCAGGTCAGGTCAATGACCCAAGGTCGGGAAAATCGGGACCTGTTAGAAAGTCGTTAAGTGTGGCTGCTAGGGGTTTTTTCGGGGTGCTGATCACGAATATCGTGTTAGTGTTGATCAGAGATGATGTCTTTAAGCATTTAGACCAGGTCGGGTCAGGTTAGGTCAGGTCAACCAGTAGGCGCCGTGACGGGTATTAGTAGTACGTGTCAACCGCCTCTGACAGCTTCGTAACATGTTACGAAGTCACCAAAACTACTTCGTTAATGTTCAAATGGTTGCTAAATTCGAATTCAGCTCCAAAAACTAGCCTAGAAACATGTAAAACTCGAAAAAGTGAACCGAGGTCACCCGAGGTCACCAAAGGTCAATGACCTGACCTGACCTTCAGGTGACCTTGACACCCACCCTAATGCATGGGAGCAACATCAAATCACATGTTTGAACGTTTGAAACCACGAAAAGCTTGCAAACGCGCGGCTAATGCGAGCCGACATACGCGGAATCGCGATTCCGGCCAAACATGGTCTCGGAAAAGAGGTCACAGGTCAAAGGTCTTTGGGGTCAGGGTCATGAAATTTTCAGGGTAGGTGTAAAATTGATCAATGCGAGGGTACGGACAGTGTTGTCGCGATCGGCCGCTTTTTACGCGAGTTATTCGCGAAAAACCATGAGGGTCCATCCGACCCCCTACACATGCGAGGGTTAACATTAGCCCAATGGGCGTTGCATGGAAAGAATGGGACCAAAAGTCGGCAGTGCCCCCTTTAATTAAAGGTGTTCCGCCTCTACTGAATGCAAGTAATGGCTTTCGATACATTAGCGGAAAATTAAAGATAATGCCATAGCTATGCCAATATGCTATTGCTGTTATCCATGCTACATCGTTCGTATTTCGTAGCACGTAAAACAATTGAATACCTATGAGATACATTTTGATCAGCCAATTCAATATCAAAGCACATTACATATACCAGGTCCAAGTAAAGGAAATGTGAAAGGAAACCCAAAGAAGTGCACATAAATAAATTCGCCTATATCTTCTTGTCCGAACGGTTTAATCCAAATTGTTCCCTCAGCCGAGCGAGGGGGTCTGTTTCCGCGTCCGGAAGCCCCATGGAGAGAGCTGAAACTTGGCACACTAAAACTTTGATTTGCTCCAGATCTGTCAGAACTTTCGTCCTGCCTTCATCATCTTTGGGACCTTGGGTCAGGTCGGGTTACGGTAACGGGTACCCCATACCCATACGTGGATCTCCGCATGGTCCAAAAATTCCACAAATTGGCTTAACACTCTCAGGGCAAGGGAATTTTTGGAAGGTGGATGAAACTGTTGAAAGAACCAAGCTCTAGAGTTCCCAAGTCATCGTAACTTTCAGATATTTTTACCAGAGCCAAAACACCGCAGGAAAATCATTCGATAGCTCTTTCACAGCTCTTCCGGTGACTTGTCTCAGAGTTGACCCAAGGTTAAAGGTTTGGCCTTCAGGACACCGGTAAATTTTAGGCACACCTGAAATGCTTTTACTAAAAAATTGACACAAACGCTCTCACCTGACCGGCTTTAGCCTGGACTTGACCTCCTGAGGTCAACACCCAATCTAATGTAAAAAAGGATCGATGCGCCTGGACATGACCAAATTGGCAAAGCTGCTATGCTAACATTTTCCCCTAACTTGTTTACAAGAAAAGGAGCCGTCCGTACATGGTAGCATGTCCATTTTATCTCAGGTCATTGAAATATAACTTTGGAGCATTCCGAGATGCTTTCATTTGATGATCGACCAGCGACAATGATAATGATACAAATAACGTAACTTTTGCAGGGCCTTATGAGCATTGAACGGCCTTTCACCACTATGAGAAGCTTTGATATGAGATACGAGATTCGCTCACTGCCCTTAGACCACTCAGCATCACGTCGGGCTTCTGATAGTAGTGACGAACCCTTCAAACGCATCGCACTCCAACCTCACGCAACTGTATTGGAAAACGTCTCCCAGAGAAGAGGCCCTTCCTGGCGTGGGGAGTTCCTTTGTTGCGCACTACGCGGTTCGCTATTTCTTTTATCGACTGTGCGGTTCAGTTGCTATATTGGGAGCTACGACGAAAGCTGCTGGATCTGAAGCCCCGTCGGTTCATCGGCCGCACAGAAATTCTCAGCCGTGAATTGAATTGCGTTGTTAGCCTAGACGAAACTTAATTTGCATGCGATGCTTTGCGCCGTCCATGCATTTATTCAGATGGTTAATTGAGATGGGTTATAAAAAGAGCGAAATTAATTTTCGCCGAACTATCGATGTGCCCACTAAGGTGTAAACAGACAAGTCCCGAAAGAGTGGTGTAAAAGAAAATGTTCAATGTTCATTGCTTCGCCGAATAATGACCCTGCTCCTCGCACGAAAACGTACAGTCCACAGCAAAAGTAATGTGGGGTTTCAGTCATGGATATGTTCTGCTTATGAAGCTTAGGAACGATTAGCCAGACTACAATGAAACTTTGGATGTAGCTTATATGTATCGTCACCCTTGCAGCTGCAACTTTAGCTATTGACATCTTCTTTTCGATCACTCCGCATTAAACAATCGCCAGTCAAAGCCAACCGTTGAGATTGGTAAAACCCTACATTACTTTAGCGGTGGGCTGTACGTTGTATGCGTGGACATGCGAGTAGGATTCGACTGTGTAACCTCTTTTCTGCATGGGGTTGTGATAGCGGTACTGGGTAACACAGTCGTGGCACGGTCATAGATACTAAGTCGTGGTAACATTCTTACTCTCTTTTTCACATTGCCATTTTACCACGGAGGTGAGCTTTCTCAATTATTGTGAACAGTACGGTATAAGCACCGTATATGTGAGGCTGGCGACGCACTTCAATGTCTCAGAGCAAGCGAAACGCCTACCCATTACAAGACTTCAGAAAATACTTAACAAGCGAAGGAAAAGTAACCGAGCACTTGGCTTCGTTTTCCACACAATTATAGCAGGTTGTTGTATATTTCTATATTTCGCACACCACGATATACACTGTAGGCTAAATAAGACGGCACAGGTTGTGCGTTTGTAGGCACGACATTAGCGGCAGCCTCACGACGGAGCAGAGAGGGGCCCGCTGGGCGAGTACCCACGCTAACTCGGCGCGACACGCTGCTGACCCGTGTACGGAAGGCGCATCTGAGGTCACCGGTGGGCAGACACACGCTGCCGTACTAAGTACTAGCTGTAAATACCATTACTTTTAATACCAGTAAATAACTGTAGATACCTCTTATTGTCGCATATATCCGTCAGCGTACAGCCGCAAATCGAGCGTAGTTGTGCGAAATGGTTCACAAAGACACAGCAAACCAAGGACATGCAGTAAAGAAAGAAAAAAACAAGAAGAACTTTACTTAAAGAATGCGTGCTTTTGGTCAATAACATAAGGATCTGCTTATCTAAAGGGGGAGCAGCAACAAAATACTACTATATGACAGTCGATACTAAACCATGCTAAAACTAAGACCAACACAATAGCTTGAGCACAATACAATCCTTAGTCTACCAGAGAAACGGCGTGGCTGGCAATGGCAGAGTATCCCACTTGCATGCCAGCGTGACACTATGTGAAAGCAAGTCATAAGAAAGAAAGGCTGCGCCTTAATAACAAAAAAAAAACGTAGAAAGGCGCATTTCCACATCAAGCGCTTGCACACAAGTATACGCCTGCTATAATCATCAGCAACACCATAGCAGCAGTTACAAGTAACAAGCACCTCAAGCGACAAAACCTCACATGAACTACCTACGTACTAGGACATAATTTTCGTCCAAATAAATCAACAATGATTTTGGGTGTGAAGCAGGGAGCGATCTTGTTCAATAGACAGCTGAAACTCCGAATCAAACAACTCAGTTAAAAATAGTATAGCATTGGCAGATTCTAAAGCTCTAATAAGCTACCATGGCAAGCACCTTCTGTTCTGTTAACACTCGTAGCTCATGATTAGTGATTACCACATATTGCAGCAGAATCACTTTGTGAAAGCTGAACTGAAAAGCACAGGCAGCCTGACACAGGAAGCAGAGTATTTTGATTTTCTGACAGACACACAAAAAAAGCCATAACACAGACATGGCAATAGCAATCACTCGAGCAACATTCGCACATAGCCTGCAATAAATTTATATGAAATAGTAACTAACTTCACGATTAAGATGCATCGTATCCAGTATATCTAACCGGGCTATTTGTTTTGTACGCGCTAGCAAGCAGACAAAATGTCATGTAGCGTTTGTACAATACAAAGTAAGTCTCTCAAAACACTATAAATTCGGGCTAAGCATATGAAAAATACCTTAAAAAATATGCGATTCACCTGAGCAGCAGTAAGTCGTTAAGGCTCATTGAACACGATCTCCAGTCTGAACCTGGGTTGTCGTAGATCCGGTCGCATCAGACAAGCGATGACCAACAGGTCGCGTATAAAGCCAAAAACTCGGTCCGAAGAGGTTCAGAGCACTTTGGTAATCACACCATACACAATACGAGAGAACCACTATTAGAGAGCCACGAACACAATACAACAGACGATAGCCACAAGTTGGCTGCGCCGATAGAGCTGGATCAATTACATGACAGGAAGATGGCTCTAGCGCATCCAATATCGCCAGAAAATGGCTCAAACTTTCCCCAGCCGGATCTAAATCACCCTGTCAGTGACATTCACAAGCGAGACGCGATATTCGAATACCTGCTAGCCTCACACCATACAGATCAAACGCAGCGGCATCGGATATAGCGGAACCCAGACCATACTGAAACGACGCTTGTGACAGAATCGCTAGTGACTCCAGTACACAGCTTTTCTGTAGAACCGGATGTGCAATGACTGTGTAGTGTTATAGGTGGCGCTGCCGGGCCGGCCTGCAGATGTCACTGCTATCGGGTCACCGGTAGATGTCGCCCTAGACGCAGGCGTGAAGATGGCTGCCGGAGCCGATGATTTGGTCACTGGACTTCGGGAAGGGATCGCGCTGGCGATTTCTTCGGGTGACGCCGTCGGGGCGTGAGCTCATCGCCTCCAATTGCTGGCGGAGAACGCAGATGGGCGCAACGGTCAGAACGGGGTTCAGAGTTCAGCCCAGTGGCATCAGTGAGCAGCTACACGGCGACCTCCTCACTCGAGAAAACATACGAAATAAGAAAGTTGTTTTCTTCTAAAAACGTAGGTGTTTCCAAGTATACAGGTTAAGAATTTCAGCACTCGACAAAAAGTTCGTAACATGCAAGAAAGACTGCAGAAACGGAAGAAAAGCACGCAAATATGATAACTTCGGTCGCGCACACAAGTTCAGAGAGGATTTGGCAAAAAGTTTGTCAAAGCTTATGTATCAGTCAACGTTGACAGAGATTAACTTAGCGATTCTTATGACAAAAGTGTATGGGGCGAAGTTCGCCAAGGTTTGCCACTAAAAAATGCAACAAGATGAAAGATGAATAAAAACATAAATGATAACGGATTGACGCAAGCTAACACAATCAGTGTACTGTGCTTTCACTATGCAACATAAATCTACGAGAAAAACATTACCAATCCGTAGGATTGAATAGTGCGCGATGAATGAAGTAAGCCGTGATGAAGTGCGTCACCTGATATCATGCAAATATTTATGTACCATCTCAAAGCGTGGAGGATTGGTGGCATGGCATGGCATGACCCTCAACAGTGCAGTGTTTCATTGCGTCAGTCCATGAAGATGTCGTTTCATTGGGTTACTGACTACGCTGACAAGATAAAGCGACTGCTCAATTTTGGCTAGCTCAAGACGTAAGCATGCAGGAAGTATTTAAATTTCTGTCACATTCAAGCGACTTACAGTTTTCGAGCATTGAAGCGCCTATTCTCAGCTATCTATTATGAAACAAACAAACGATGTTCATCAATCAAACTACGTGGCAAAACAGCCGGTCAAAGCAACTAACAGTTCGCATTTCCGTAGCAGTCAGGCAAAACGGCCCGCTCCCCGTGTTATAAGCGACCCCGCCACGACATCCCATCTTTTAGGCGACCGACGAGTCACTCTGGCTTCAATGGTACGTGAATTATGGAAATGTGACGCTCGTAAATATGCCGAGACGGTGGAATCCTCTGAGATCCTGCGACTCGGAAAGAGGAATTTAAAAGAAAATTCGCCTGGCAATGAATTATTCTTTTGTGGTCGCAGACAGCATAATGTCAGTGTGATATTTTTACGAAATTTTCTGCAGCCAACCAGGGTGACTTAAGGCGAAGGGAAGCTATGAAAATGTTTTCTCTGCATGCACTTCCAATGTTGAACATAAGGTGCTGAGTCATGGCCGGTGGGTGGCTTCTTTTAGATCTGTCCATATCGGAGAAGACATTTCATGAAAACTATAATATATTATATTAGATAATATTATATATATTAAATTAAATCGTGCAACATTAAAGCGACAACATTGAAAGCATCGCGTGTGCGACAGCTGGCCGGCCCACTCACTGCTGCCTCGCTCGAGTTGCTGTCATATGAGCCAGGCGGTCCCAGCGACAACAGATTGCAGTTCAGTATCGAACAAGTAACTCAAATATGATGCATGTTAGAAGTTCAAGACAGGTAAAATATATGGTGTTTAGTGGGTAAAGGGTGGTCGTACTTTGAAGTACGAGTGTTCATCATATGTACTGCCGGAATCAAATAAATTCCCTATGGTATTTCGCAATTATCCACATAACCCTTCATTACCGTACCTTATTCATGATCATCAGAATATTTCAAACGGCAGTTTGCCTAGCTATAAAACGACACTTCAGCATAGGCATTAACCAAGAGATGATTCCTAATACATAGACCCACCAATCTCCAGCACCACCCATTTCCGCCGCAGTTCAACATCACGACCTTTGCCGCTCAGAGAATCTCAGCGACTGCAAGACGTCAATATCCCAGTGACCTGGTGACCCCGTGACCTGGTGACCTACCTCGGGGTCGCCGATGATACGGTGCAGAAGCGTCTCTCCCACGCTGCTGGGGTCCTCACCGCGCGAGCGGAACAGCTCCATCTCGACTATCATCTCCTGAAAATGTCAATAGGAGGAAGGGAGAGTCGGAACACAGCAGTCGGTGGGTGGGATACAGTTTCCCGCCAACCTCGTTTACTTGACAGGACGATTTCCCTCAGCAGGACCGATGCCACATGAACACAGTGGTCAAAATGTTCACACTCGATGTCAGCCTATTGACACACAACCACACTAAGTGTTCACACTAAGTACAGAGCCGGTCATATTTTATCCTGCAGCAAACAACATCCGTCCCTCACACCCCACCCGCCGACCACCGACCGCCTGCCCACCCGTCCGCTGCTCCGACTTCAGCCCTCCCCTCCCAAGGAAGCGACTCGGCGAGACTGACCTGCACCAGGTAATTCTCCTGCTGGATGCGCTCCTTGAGCTTCCGCGGAATATCCGGCGTGATCCAAAACACCAGCTGCATTATCACGTACACCACGTTCTGTGAGACACAGCACAGCGCTCAGTCAAAGGCGGGAAGTGGGGCACAGCACAGTTCAGGACGGCTTTAGATGTGAGTGCCGAGTATAAGCACACGGCTAGGAATGATTTCAAATAAAGGAGTACGGTACGGAATTTTATAATAAAATGGTATAATCTTCCTGGGTCTTTAGGTACCCACAGTTATAGTGAAAGTTTACAAATATCTGGCGTTTTATTTCACTCTGGTTGCCGTTCTGCCGGAGCCGAAGGTGGCTGGCATTCTGAAAAAGCCGTCCACAAAATCTATTCATTCTGGAGAGCAGCAATGCGTATTGGAGCACGGTTAAAGTTCCCCCAACCAGTAGCAGAATAAAAGTTTCGCTTCATCTCGAATGAATAACCATTTATGCAAGAGCAGGCAGCAGCGAGCGGAATCGATCAAGCGGCTGAACTAACCAATACGGAAACCGACACTAAGCGAGCTGAGCTGCACTATTGATGCTAATAAAACTTCACCGAAACAAAATATCAAGCATCAACAACGGAAAATCACCGGACAAATGGCGAGAAGGTTGCGGTCTTCAGGCTGCGAGAAAACCTAGCAACGTGTCTCACGGTAAGATAGGAGGAAATTGCAACACTGGCCTCCCCACCCGACCCACTATGCACATACACATCATCATATTTCTCATTCCATATCTTACATTCCTTCTCCATTCGACTTCCCCCAAAACAACGTACAATTGTTAGTTCCATAACCTCATCCCCAAAGATCCACCAAATCCAACATATCAGACTATTCATCCCAATATTCCGCTGCACCTACCATTCTGATTTCTGATCATCCTCCGCGGCACCAAAAAAGCCAATCCACCTGCACATCACACCTCTCCACTGCCTTTATTCGATATTCATACCCAGCTCAGCGTACAATTCAGTCACTCCAAGCTACTCTCACTCCGGTCCATTAGGCGCATCAACACTCCGTTCATCCTATTCCACTGGCGATGGGACAGTGACGTCCCACTCCGTCCCACCCTAACCCAGACTGGTTTTGTATTCGCCTTTTTTGGATCGATTCAATCATTGATTCATTTGATTTTTGTTTGATTCAATCACCGTTTGATTCCTTCAAAAAATTTGGTGAATCGATTCCTTTTGATTCAGCCAAATTTTTTGAATGATTCTTTTTTGATTCAATTAAAAAATAAAATATACAAAATATCAGGGATAGTATTGTATTTGTTGTGTTCTTTTTGTTGTCATGTAATGGCAGTAGTGTTAATATTTGTTGATAATGAACTATGTTCATTCACTTCAATTTTTTTTTTAAGTTCATGAATCATTAATTTTTTTTTTATTCAATCAACTCTGATTCCCAATGCGTTTGATTCAATCATGGCTTGTGAATCAAACAATCCTGACGGTGAATCAAACCTTTTTGATTCAACAAATTTTGTTTGATTCAATCCAATCGATTCAATCACAGATGAATCAAACACCAGTCTGCCCTAACCCACTAGCGTCGGGACAGTCCCGTTCCAGCAACCCTCTCCACTCCCAGTTTCAACCCCATCCCTCCATTCTACCGACCTGGAAGACGAGAACGAACATGAGTCGCGCGGCCAGCACGTGCCAGTAGAGCGTCGAAGGCTGGTACGGATCGGGGTCATCCGGTCCGTTACGGTAGTCCAGGTACCTGAAACAGACACACTTTGGTTAGACAGCGCCCTACTGGGTAGGGTGGTAGCGAATGACTACTCTTCTTATTAGGCTGTGGTTCTGGATACCTAGCCTGTTTTGGACTGAATTAATTTTTAGGTTAGATTTGGTCCCATGCCTGCTGCCTGCCAGGTCGTGGTTCATAGCTGTTCAGTCTTTGGCAAAGATAACATGATCTACCGGTTATCCTTGTCTTTGGATATAGAAAAATGTGTCGGTTAGTGCTGTTGTAATAATTATGCAACTTCATCCATCTTTGACGCCGTAACATCAAATCAAGCGAACGAAAAAGAAAAGGCTCGACAAGAAATATTTGAACATCAAATATTGCATCCGTTGTCATTAAAAATGGCGCCAGTTTTTCTGTTATGCTAAATATTACCACCGGAAATATTGCATCACCATCCTTGTTTGGGACTTATTCCAGATGGAAAAGGCAATGTTGCAAAATATTGCTCCGGTTCTACCAAACCCTCGGGCAGCAGCTGGTGGTGCGACGTGCGGAAATACGCTCTTTGAATTTGCATTGGCAAATAATTGAGCTCGCGGCAGTTTACAGCAGCAGCAAACAAACTCACCGGGTTTTGGCCTAAATCAGAGACTTCAAACGGATTTGAATAAGTGCGCAATACCACCTGTATATGCCTAAGCGCTGAGGTGCAGTTTCGAAGGTCGTGGAAAGGTTCGGTCAATAGCTTCGAGAGCAGCATTGGCAAACAGTGGGAGCACTGAATATCTGGAAACGAGACTGGCCCAATGAATGAGACGTCAAATTGAAATACGAAAGAAAACAAAACTAGACGAGCCTGAGTTTTGAATGTGCGCGGATCAGAGGCCTGCGCATTGACTGATCTTCTGTGGAATAAAAAGGACGAAGTACATTCCTCAGTTGCATAATTCCAGCACAAATTACCGTTAGCACGTTCTCTGGCGAGCTGGAAGCATGCGTCCTAAATAGGGAGGACTGTGGGTGTGATCTAACCAATGATAACTTTATTTTCTGTAAAGAGAAAAACAATAACCGGGGCCGCTTTTCCCCGGACTATGCATCATTTTACAAATGTGACTAGCGAAACACAATTATAACTTTCAGTTGTGTCTCCTTGACCACAACATGTCTGTGAAAGTGTCAAATTCAATAGGAGGGCGTCTTTGCAAATGGGTGTTGTTTCGACTTCAACCAAGCTGCTTGCTACTCCACAGCAAAATGAAGGGAGATATAATGTTGACAAGTCTGACCTCCGGGCGGGAAAGATGACGCCATTACGTACACACGTAATCCACGAAAACAGCCTACTAACGAAAAGCTGCCTTCAAAATATGACCTTTTCTGATAAACTTTCCGTCTTAGGCGACAACAATCATAGCCGACTAAAAAAAGACTGCTCCATTTACAATTGCTGAACCACCGTGTAGAAATGCATTTCTCTCATTCTTTATCTATTTCTATAGTAACTATATATGTCTTTAAAAGTCCCTCATTCGGTGCAAAGTTACCATTCCAATTATATGGTAGCATTCGCTCCAAGATGCGGGGCATCCCGGCCCGAATCCCGATTTGATTGGACTTTACGAAAGCCCACACAGAGCCACGCCAATGCTTCATTAGCTTTTCTTTTCAACTTCTCCGGTATGATCAAAACAGTCACATCAAACGAAAAAGTCGTCAGCTGTGATCAGCCGACGCTTCAAAAGACGCAGCACCGGAAACTAGGTCACGTAAACAAGACAATTGGTCGCTATTCATCAGCGAAATTATAGTCGCTTACATCCACTGAAGCAAAACACACACCAGGATAATCTAAAAATGAAGCTAATGTAAAAACATCCTTTTAATCATAAAACCGATTAAAACCAGATAAAATCATCACCAAATTTCACTTATACTCTTAATGTTTTTGTGTGAGAAGGACAAGTCGGATCTTTCCGGCCATTGGATCCCGAAAGTCTTATTGCAGTCGTGCATACCTGCAAACCTCGATATCTGCCGATTGGTCTTTGGGCCGGAACTCGGAGCTGAAGTTGGCCACGTTGAACACGGACAGGCTGTTGTCGATGAAGCCGTCCAGCGTGTTGTTCTGGCTGACCGTGAGACGGTACACCAGGCGCGGGATCAGATTTGACGTGAAGCCGATGATACACGCCTGAAAAACGGGCGGATAATTATCACCGCCGTAGGAAAATGGTACTTAGCGGACTCGAGAAATTAGGAAGAATTCGGAACTTGCTGCTTAAGCACATACAAATTAAGAAGCGCTAATTAGAAGCATGAAATAATTACCGCCGAAAGTTTCCCAACGTAGATGAGAACATTGCCAATTAAAAGGAGGTTTAGTGAGAGTGCAGTGTTCATCAGTTATAAAACATATCTCGCTGTAACATTTGGCCAATGATTTTCAATGACTGTAATATTTCTGAAAATTTCACAAGCAATGAGCCACAGTCAGCCTCTCGTAACCCCCCCCCCCCTCCCCCGCAGCTGTCTCCTGCGGGGCCCGAGAGTGCACCCGGGCATTAACTTCCACTCACATTACTCAGTACGGCCAGCCGTCCGACAGTGTTGAGGATGCGGTACCAGATGCCGATATCCCTGACTCGCTGTCCGACCGGTCTCCGATAGAAGGTAAGCAGCTTGCGCGCATCCAGCCGCATCTCCAGCACATTGTTGAGGATGGCGAACAGCGGAGCGAGCGGGAATGACGCCACGAAGATGGTCACCAGGCCGAACTGGATCACTGCGGCGGGTACGTGAGCAGCTTAGAAGTGTGTTTGTGAGGGAAACAGGCAGAGAACAGCGACTCAGGTTAGGGCGGGTAGCGGGCGAGACTGGACGAAGAACGGTGAGAGTCGGGACGGTGAGGGATTGGACATATGTCGAAGCATCCGTTAAATGACGAACAGTAAACGATGCAACACCGGATTTACTAATGAAGCCGTTAAGGAGCTAAGCATTGCCATAAAAAATCCTATTAAACATGACTAGCTCTTCGTTTATAGGAGAGGTCAAGGCAGGCAAGAGAATGGAGGGAGCGGGACACCGGCAGAGGCGGGGTTACGTTACTGTTGCAGCCAATACCTTCACACAGTAGCTAATGGATTAGAAAGCAAGATTGATGATACACCAGAAGAAAGGCGGGTTATGGCCTTAGCGTCACACAAGAGGAATTCACGGTTTTCCGTCATTTATCTCGTCTCGGCTGTGGTACGGAGCCAGCCGAGAACGTCAGACTAGTAAAACCTGAGCCGGCAGACAGGATGAGTTACCTCTCACGGCTGCAATACATTACCGAGCATCCGAGCGGGGTTTTCGCACCAAGCCGTCTCTAAGTCCATAAACAAATGTAACCGATCCCCAACATACTTTAAAGCGCTATTCTCGATTGCAATATGCAATTCAAAGTCGCAGGTTGTTTGAAATACACTATTCGTTAGAATTGTTTTTCTAATGAAAAAAGCCGGAGCTACACGAAACATCCCTTAGATGTGCACGCACTTAACCCTATTAGTGGCAGGCTCCTGGCTACCCCTATTAGTGGCAGGGGGGGGGGGGCTGTTTACGACCCCCTTGATATCTCGAGATCTAACGGGCCGATTTTCAAAATTCAAACGGCATTCGATTTCGCTCAACGTGATCTACATTTCTAAAAAATAAAAATTAAAAAAATGTCAATAGGGGGGGGGGGGGTAGAGGGGGGTAAAAACGCGCAAATTGCAGATACTTTTTAGACTGTTTATCACGGCCAGGATTCTGAACCAATCTTAACGCAACTTTTGCCGATCGATAGAGAATGAACCAGGAATTCACATGGATCCTAAGAATATGCATTTTCAAAAATCATAGGCGGATACAGATCATTGAGATTGGGGGTACACAAAAAGTATAGTAAATAAGGTTTTTGTTGGTACCGTTTCTAAAAAGGGTGGTAATGGTCTTGTTATGTTACAATTTTCTTATGAGAGAACGACTACAATTGTATTGGTCATGCATAGGCGGTGTCAGGGCACCTATGTTGGGAGGTAAAACATAACCCCCCTTTTTGGACGCCTGGATCCGCCTATTACAGCAAAAACGTGTCAAAAGAGGATGCACAATAACTTTGTATATGTTATCACATGATACATTTCCTTCACTGTTCGTAAAACTGGTGCATACAGTCATAATACATCAGCATCGTGATCTTCGCCCAAATGACTCGCTTCACGAATAGGACCCCCCAATTCCCAGTGCTCTGGAGCCGCCCCTGGTAAAGTTATGAACTTGAAATTTTAAGGGAATGTGCCCAATTTAGTTTTAGGAAAAGTTAGAAAATTTCAGCATCGTAGCTTCAGCGGTTTCGGAGATATTCCCGAAAAACCTGAGGGGTGGATGAAAACAACCCCCCCCCCCCCCTGTCACTAATAGGGTTAAGGGACTTAAGACACATACAAGACGTCAATTGACGGGGACTTACCCATTTCCAGGTACTCCCAAAACAGGCTCTGGGTTCCCCAGCTGAGCAGCGTGAAATCGGCCGCCCACTGAGGCAGCTCCTTCTTGTCTTCTTCACTGTCGTACAGCAGCTTACTGAGGCCGCTCAGCCACGAAAACAGCTTCCTATCGCACACACACAACCGAAACTGCTGAGTACACAGTACACAGCACATGCAGTACACAGTGACAGTACACAGCAGCTTACTGAGGCCGCTCAGCCACGAAAACAGCTTCCTATCGCACACAAACAACCGAAACTGCTGAGTATACAGCACACGACACATGCAGTACACAGTACACAGTACACAGAACATAGCACAAATTTCACAGCAGTGCACGGCACACAGCAGCTTACTGAGGCCGCTCAGCCACGAGAACAGCTTTCTGGTACACAAAGGACAGGAGTCGATAAATAGGATGTCATTTCACAGTGATCAGCCTATAAGTAACAATAAGCCACCGAAAAATTATCATCAACAGAGCTTTGCTTTGAAAATTATCTATTCATCACTATCGTGAAACGCAGCGGTCGTTAAATAAGTAGCGAACACCAATTATGGGCTAAGTACAAGCAAATGCGATAAAATTGCCAACATTAAATAATTACAACATGGCCAGAGAATGTTATCCACTTACGGTAGGATGTTTTCCCAGATGGTGAGAAGCGCCTGTTTGCCAACCATGATAATAGCCAGCTGTAGCGAGAGCTCCCATAGGCAGCCCCCGGGTCCACACTGGAAAAAAGAACCGATCAGTCGAGATGAGGCTTATAACATCGACACTTTATGACAATGCCCATATTAAACGTACGGCTGTTCTGGGCTGGAGGCTCATGTAGGAGCGTGTTGCAGGATTTCCAGTGGTGATCCATCTGAAATAAAGCTGTCACAATGTGCTAAGCTGTGTGTCATGGCAGATCTATTGCTACTTAATGCAAAGCCCCCAGCCACGAGTGATATAAAGCGTCAATGATGTGTGTCAGGTTTGAAGGGCACTGCATACACATTACACACACATTGCATTGCAAATCAGATGATGGTCGTGGCAGCGCCTTTTTTTCTAGCTGCTCGGACTCTGCCGGCTGTTTATGACAATCAATGCGGGATCGCCAACAGAGTAGACTAGATATATTTTGGACAGACTATGGCTGTAGTTGTATCCCCACTTCCTTTTCGTGACCAGACAACAATTATGACCGTTAAGCAAATAGCTTTCGTGTGGTCCTTCTCTTTGTTATAAATTGCACAATTCATGAGACTACTAGGGAGCATATATTTCAAGGAATACGCCCTTAGCTATTACTATGAGCAGTGAAAAAAATGTTTCCTTGTTAGCTGAAGGTGCTACCCCGTATCATCATGCATCACGAATTCAGACGGGCTTGCCGCGTTCCTGAATACACCACGTCACAGCCAGGTGATATATTGTGAGCGTGAAAACTTCACCCAACAATCAAAACTCGCTGTTTGCGCCATACATCGGCATACTTAATTGAAGCATTGCCTCGTCATCTTCCCCAGATGCCGTTCTCAATATCTCAGGCGACTGATGTCGTAAACAACCGACTTCCAAGTTCCAACAAACTCTGAAACAGGCGCGCCCCGGGAGTCCCCCCGACCCCCCCCCCCCCCCCCCCCCCGCCTCCCCTCCCCGTCCGTGGCCCTCACCTCCTCCTGTCTGTAGCGGAAGATCCGGTTGTAGTCGCCCGGGTAGCCGTGGAACTTTCCCTTGAAGAAGGCGATGTAGAAGATGGAGGAGTAGTAGTTGATGAACTGCAGCATGTAGATCTTCAGCGTGAGGCTGTCGTCGTATTCGGACTGCGTTCTCGGCAGCTCCAAGTCGGTTAGGAAGCCGGCGATGCGGTTGTACACCTGGACAGATGGAAGGAAAACTAGCTTCAGATGCGTATCATGACACTGAAAGCAGAGTCCAGGTGTGCCTGCTTAGCGTGTCGCGTTTAGCGGAAATACAGGTTAAAGGTAGTGTGCCAGCTTTCCTGGACCGTATGGAGTTAATGGCCCAGATAAGGAGAACCGGATTTTTAGAACTTATCCATACCTTCAAAACTCATGGAAACGTCTTAAATTCTTCAAATTTTGAGTACCCCAGTGCGAAATTCGCCCCGACGGGTTGTCGGTCGTACCCCAACCACATTTCACACCACTATGAACAATAAATGCACACACTGAAATCGCTATTACCGATAGGTTCATCCAATCAAGTTTCGATAAACCCGTTCATCATCATCTCCTGCGGTTTCGAACACGCCTGTTAGGTGGTGCGGTAGACCGCGCCCAAAGCCAGGGCCCCGGTAACGTGAGGTAGCCGAGTCGGGGCAGCGTGCGCTGACCCAAGCCGGGGCCGCGCGTCCTCCCGGTGTCATGCATGATAGCCCGGGGCTGCCCGCGGGGATGCGGTAGACCGCGCCCAAAGCCGCGGCCCCGGCTTGGGTCAGCGCACGCTGCCCCGACTCGGCTACCTCACGTTACCGGGGCCCTGGCTTTGGGCGCGGCTTCTGCTCATACTTTGTGGTGCGGTGGTGGTGCGTCGGGCCGCGCGCTCTGACTTCGGCCAAGAAAAATGCGTCAGCTGATCATTGTCATTTCTGCCACTTTCATGTGGTGAGATGGGGTCATAACTTTAGAGACGGCTGTTTCATATCAATTATTTTACATAAAATAATATTTCAAACCATAAATTAATATTTGACAGCCAAATTAAAGAAACAATACCAATACAGGCTTACAGTTTAAATTCAACATTGTGTTGTCTACGATTAGACAGCTGATAACTCATTCCCGTACTTCGTAACTCGTAACTCTATAATGACCTTTGCTTATTGTCACATGTGCGCCGCATTCGTGATTGTTGCCGACGCCTGTTTGCAGATCAGCCCACTACAGTTGTCATACATATCGAAAAACCGATAAACTTTTAGGCGAAAAAAGCACTATTTTAGGCCCATTTTTGATTTTTTTTGCGATATTAGGTAAAAACAAAAGCTTCTTATCCTTGGAAAAATAAAATGGGAAATCATTCGAAGGTGGCACACTACCTTTAAGCATTTACTAAATCATCGTAATAAGGCCGACGTGGAAACAATACACCCACCAAACGCCGCGCGAAGTTCTGGCAAAACATCGTGCATTTTGCATAGGCATAAAGTCCGATGTAAGCATATGCAAACTAAAATTCATCAGCAACTTCTTCCTATGAAACAAAATTAAAAGATATTGGCTGCTCACTAATGCATTTGAATTGGGATCCTGCATTCAGTTTCCAATTCAGCCTGCCAATTCAATCATTGAATCACATAAACTATTATAGTAAAAAGCCTGAAGCAATCACTAGTTACCATGCTACTGATTACCATCTGAGACGCATGCATTTTCCATAAAGAGAAGTCTGTGCCGCAACAAATGAACTACCCCAGCTGGGCCCGTCCAACAGCTTCACCTGGTTGAGCAGCAGCACGATCAGCAGGTTGATGGTGGCCGCCGTGGCGTTGACGAAGATGGGTCCGTACGTCTCCACGTAGACCTTGTGGTCGTAGCCGCTGTTCCAGTAGGTGAGCGCGCCCAGGGCGGCCATCACAGACAGACGGTACAGCACCACGCCGACGATGATGGCGATCGCCACCACGATCTGTCCGTAACACACACGCACAACAGTCACACACAAAGAATGAATGAATGAATGAATGAATGAATGAATGAATGAATGAATGAATGAATGAATGAATGAATGGAGGAATGAATGAATGAATGAATGAATGAATGAATGAATGCATGCAAGAATGAATTAACTGAATGCATTGGATGGATCAGGTCAGGATGGACGAATGAATGACTGACTGAATGAAAGAATGAATGAGACTGCGTCGTCGACAGCTACAAATACCGCCCAGACTATTATCTCACAATACAAACATGTAGCCGGTATGAGGATGCTCTTCCTCCCGACATTCGATGCACTCACCAGCAGCAGTATGATGGAGGCGCTGATGAGCATTCTGGGTAGGCGCATCTTCCAGAAACTGACGTGCGGCTCCAGCTGCTTCGTAACGATGTTCACCTGGTCGCAAACGAGGGAGGGGGGAATGGATAGGTAACAATGAACATCCTATAGCCCAACAAGCGGAACCTACGAAAATTGGTAGCAACTGACGATATAAAGTGCCGCTAAACGCCTGACTCCAGCTCCGTTACTACAGCTCTGGGAGCTGTTTGTGCCATGTGTGCTCCGCGCTTATCTCTGACTGCTCGCCGTCCCCGCTCGCTGAAACCGGGCAGTGACACCGCGCTAAGATTTTCGATTGGTGTCCTCACCAACCCGAGAATGAATGAATATGCTCGCGAGCAGGGGAGGAGCTTCCTATGCAGTTCGTGGGGCGACTGCCGTACACCAACTTCTCATTCTGCCCCACCAATAAGCATTTTGACCCACCAACTTAAGCTGACTTTTCGAACTTTGTTGCTTTGCAAATCAATATTTTTCACTGAAAAGCTTTGGAATGTCTGTGTTATGCAAAATATAGGTAATGTATGTCACGGCAGAAATTGATTTGACAATCGGATTTAACCCGCGCCCGGCTGGGGGTCCTGGATTTCCACGCCCTGCTGGGGGGGGGTGTTTGAACACCCCCCCTTCTAACTCGGCTCCTGGGCCACGTAGCGATACGCGGAAGGCGGCGTTCGAAAGAGCGTCAAAAATAATGAGGAAATCACTTCGGTCAATTTTTTGGTCAGGTCAAAGGTCAGGTCACCAGAGGTCATTGAAGGCAAAATTTCGCCGATTTCCAGGTCGAATGTCGACAATTTCCAAGAAGCTAACGCATAACTCGGGAACCAATAGAGCTACAGCGCCGCGGAAAAGCGCATTCGATAGCCCTATTAACGCCCTTTCTGAGTAATTTTCTCAGATTTGACCTAGCTTCAACGGTTTTGCCTGCAGGGGGCAAAAACTGCAAAAATAGCCGATTTTTTCGGAAACAGTTTTTCTGCAATAACTTTTGACCCAAGCCTTGTACGAGCTTACTTTTACCGGCATCGTGTTCCTCTCGTCAAGACGCATCGAATGAACTATAACTTGACCTTGAAAGGTCAACTTGAAAATTTGACCTCAGGTCAAGGTCATGACCTGACCGGAAAGGGTCATGTTGCATATCAGTCGATCCGCATCGTCGAGCTGAACACATCTAAGGCATTTTCATCGCTCTAGCATGCCTCTATCAAAAGTTATTTGCGAAAAACTGTTAGATACCATTCGTGACCTAAGATGACCTCAGGGCATAAACAGGGGTCACGGACACCATTTTCATGTTCAGTGTGTCTAAACCACTTGTAATTCAGTGTTTGGGAGTGTTTATAATGTCTTTCGTCCAAAAGAGGCGCATTTCAATATTCTCCCATTGACTTATAATGGGGAGGTCGCAAAATTGACCTGACCTTAGGTCATCGATATCAAAATTCTGAGATATACATTTTGTACATGCTATTGCTCTTAGCAATCGCTGAAAGTTTCAAAGCGATCGGTCACTCGGTGTAGCTATGACAGACATTGAAACTTTTTATGAGGTGAGGTCACTTCAAGTGACCTGGTGACCTGACCTTGAATGACCTTGGTCTGAAATTTTCACAACATGTGTAGAATTGATGTATGATAAGGTGTACCAAAAACGGCGGCGCTCCGCGCCGCCGTTTTTGAGATATTCGCGAAAAACCACAAGGGGGGGTGTTCAAACACCCCCCCCCCCAGCAGGGCGCGGGTTAACATTTTACCCCACCAACTTCACAGGAAAAGCCCCACCCATGCTCGCGAGTGCGCTTCGTTGTCATGTGGCACCAATAAAAACTTTAAGAAAATCGAAGGATGAAGGAAACCTAAGTGAATAAGGAGGATTCATTTACCATAATCGACCAACGCGAGCTTTCGCATGTATTCATTGAAGCGAGCTTTGTCATGTATTTGAATCTGTTCTATTATTCCTCGGGTCCATCCCAACTGGCCCCGTGGTGTAACGGTTAGCACTCAGGACTCTGAATCCTGCGATCCGAGTTCAAATCTCGGCGGGACCTCGCGTTTTCGTTCTGCGCGAGCTACAGCGATAGATCGACTTCATGCAGTCTTTCAGTGCACGTCGTCCTGACTTGCGCACATAACTTTTCACAATTTTCAACATCCAATGAAGCACACATCAAAACCCCACTGCTGCATAACCATTGGTCATCATTGGCATTGGTCACCATTGGCCATCTACTTCAAATGACTTTGAAGAGTGAACTCACCTCCTGACGTTGATCCTTGAGTTTGCTCAGGTACTCCGGTCTCGGGTGTTCCTCTTTGAGATCAAACCCGGAAAGGTCCCAGCGGTGGGTGATTTCGGCAGAGTAGCGCTTCCACAGCTCCAAGAACAGCGCCGCTGGGTAAACGACACAGCACGATAAACAAACAAGTAGAAACGGTCAGCGTAACCTACCAGGCAGCGGAGTGGCGAAGAACTTCCGATAAAATATGTCAGATGCTGAGGAGGCATATATGAGCTACGAGAATATTGTAACGTGACTACGACAGTATATTATGTTCCAGGTAATTCCCGAATCTGCGGGCGCTAAAGCGCATTCCTATTTCCTAATGGAAAGTGTGAATAAATCATACAGCAGCGAATAGGTGAATAATTGATAGCGTTCTGGCCCACACGTTTGAATCAATAAGTGGTGTGGCTGAACGTCTAAATAATTGAGGTGAAACACACCAGAAGTGATTCAAGTCAAAACGGTTACCACTTACCCCAAAACGACATGAATATGGCGAAGAAGATGGTGGACGGATTGTCGACGATGTAGGTAAACTTGGCGTAGACGCACGTCTCATTGAGCCGGTAGAAGTCGCAGAACACGTCACAGATGGGGCACATCCACACCTCCGTGTCCTTACAAATGTCGTTACTGCAACACAGCAGGAAATAACTCAGACTGGAGGCCACAAAGCCGCGGTTTATTGTTGTAACGCGGAGACGCTGTGCTGTGGTCGCGGGCGGCTGGGATGTGAAGACAGGTAGCCGTCGTGGGGGATAAAGTAAATCGCATTAGTGTCAGCGTCTGAACAATGTGAAACCACTGACATGGCATGAGCTACACTGCAGAGGCACAGGCCCATGTCGGTTGAACCAGTGAACATAAAATTACATTTATTACGGAGCGAGCGAAGCGAGCGTAGTCTATGAACGGAAATTTCTGAGTATGAGCGGCCGGCCAGCCGTGCGGAGGCTTTTCCGAGACTTATGTCTCAGCAACCACTTGACCGATTTACATGCAGTAATTTTTGAAGGGTAGCTTCATTCCTTCTACTAAATATTGGACTATTCCCGATGCATGTGGGTGACCCCTTATGCACGTGCCACGTGCAAAATGAAGAGGTGTCAGTTTTGTAATAGTTGCAATATCTCGGTAACGTTACTACTGGGCCCATTGCGCTGAAAGTTGGCATGCAGGTAGGCACCCACTAAGCAATGCATATCCATGTGCCAGAGTTGGGGTGCTGCTGCACGTGCGCACGTGCAGGGGTCGATTCCAGATCTCGAGAACGGCTGGAACGATTGCGCTCAAATTTGGTACACGGTTAGGGACCAGTTAGTAGGGTGCCGTGCACAAGTCAGTTGGGACCCATTTTGCACGTGCGCACGTGCAGGGTGCCGCTTCCAGATCTCGAGTACGGCTGGGCCGATTGTGCTCAAATTTGGCACATCGCTAGAGACCGGTTAGTAGGGTGCCGTGCACAAATCAGTTGAAGGTACCCCCTTGAAATTTCGCAAGTGAAAGGCTCACCCTCTCGCTCGCTCCGTTATTCGCCCCGAAAGGCGTTATACTAGTAATACAGCAGGTGCAGAATATTTCGCAAGGTAGGTAACATCACAAAGCATGCGAACATATGAAATAAGCATATCCTACCCAACAATGTGGCAAACTCTATCGTTCGGCAAAATAATGTATTGCAAATCGGCGAGTGGTACATACGTCAATGTTATGATCTCTTCATTGCCGGCAAACAAAACCGAGATACAGAGAAAGTTTTACCTCTCAGCCGGTTGTGCGGTGAAAGCACAGGTCCGATCAAAACAAGCATACGAATATTAAAACTTAGACAGAGAAGGAAGCGTCTCCGACCCACCTCGGAATGTCGTCCCACAGCGTGGCGAAGCCGTAGACGAAGCAGATGATGCCCACGATGGCCGGAGGGATCAGTGCGTACGTGTAGAAGCCCAGCCAGGCGAAATACATGGCGATCTTGACGCCAAAGTACTCCTGCACGTAGTCGAGCGGCTGGTGCCGGTAAAACTTGCGCAGGCTGGCCCACTCGGAGCGGAGCTTGGAACGCGCGTTGTCCTTCGAGTCCAGAGGGCCCTGATAACATGGTAGGGGTGGGGTAAGGATGAACAGATCAGTGAGTGAGTCAGATCGATCTCACGTCGATGAAGGCATGGTTAGAAAATAGAGAAACCAAAAGAAAGATGAAATACCGAAGCAGGATGGTAACCATTATGACACACACAGTACAGAAAGCTGTGGCTAACTATACGAACGAAATAAGCAATGTCTCAAAACAGCATCATCCAATAATCGGTTTTGTCCCTTTCTACTTAATCGCCTTCGTGTCAAACAAAAGCGCGCCAACTGCGAAAAGAGATTCTGCTTCAACTATTCAGAAAATATTTAAAGTAATGGATGGTGTTTTTTGCCATGATAACTGTGATAACTATTCAGAAACACACGCCCGTCCACCGCCCACCAGCCACATTCCCAGTCTCCCATCCCTCCCCACTCGCTGCAGCTGACCTCGTGCGGCGCATAGCTGGCCAGATAGGTCTTGTCGGCCAGCAGTCTGTTGATGCCAAAGTCCATCACCGTCTCATGTTCGGGGTCGTGCTCGACGAACCACTTTCTCTGTAAGATGAAGGCGACCACGCGGGCTCTCACCGCCGGCGTGAAGAAACCGGCCGACATGTCGAACCTGGGTCACACCGGGTCACAGGTTAGGCCAGACAAATACCCACAGCATTCAGGCAAATGAATGAGAAACAGCAGGAAGTGGACACGCTGTTTCATAAAAGCAGACACTTACACTGTACTTATCGGAAATAAAATAAAATAAATCGCATGAAACGGGTAGAGGGTTCACACAAAGTTCATTCAAAAAGCGCATTTACTTGCTCCTGTATATGCATAAGCTTGACTACTCAAGCCACACAAAACGTTGAAAAGGCATGCTACCGATTGTAACCCTAGCAAACAAAGCTCGATTATCTCATGTAGCACAAACATGCCGAAAAGCGCCGGTGAGCGGCGTCTCGGGTGAGTACTCACAGGTACTCGCGGTCCCTGCTGTAGACGCCGGTCAGGGTCTGGTTCTTGGGCGGAAACTTCTTGGGGTTCACCCCGAACATGCTGTTATCGAACGTGTCCACCAGATCTGTGATCTCCCGGATGACGGGAACCTGCTTGATGAAAGCTTCATCCTTGCTTATTCCAGCCGGCTAAGGTAAACAGAAAAAGAGTAAGGTCAGTGACAGTTGACACATTGCGGGATCATAACATATGCAGTATCGGGTGGCATTTAAATTAAAGTATCAGGTACCTATTTTACATGCAAGAAAATGTCAAAATGATAAAACAATGCATGGGAAAACAAGGTGAGGAATGGCGACTGAGGCTTGAGGGGCTTACAAACATGTCATGTCATATCTCAAGTGTCGGGGTATTCACAGCGTAGGCGTCAAGTGGCTCGCAAATTGACATTACACTTGAGAGGCGCAACGCAGTGGGCTATCTAGACTATCTGAGAAGAATACAAGTAAGGCTACGGGTTCAAGTAGAGGCTTCGAGGATGTATGAATTGCACCTTGTCTAAATTTGTGCATGGTGTTGGTGAGCCGGAAATGCTTTTACCAGAAGCGTCTTAACTGCAAGGTGGACGCTTTTAGTTTTGCACAAAGCACGTTTACGACCCAAATGAATATGAATACCAACTCGCATTGAACACAAATTTCTTGACCGAGAAATATTTATTATAAGTGACCAGGACCCTATCGTAAGCGATACGGGCGACTCAGGATCAATGTCTTCTAAAATACTCACCAGTTTCATCGGCATTCGGATTTTGAGGATTTCTGCGTAGCGTCTGAGCACCTCCCAGGGCGTGTGGATTTTGATGAACGTCAGCGGGCTGTTCTCGTCAATCTGGTCCTCCTCCAGATCCAGACCCTCTTTCCTCTGAGCACACAGACAGAGGGGAACCTTGGATGGAGCTGTCGACTGAGCGCAGCGGATATCCAAACACAGTGTAAGGTCGCAAGGGGGGGGGGGTCGTGCATAGGCAATGGGGTTAGATAAGGGATGGTTATTTGTTTCTTTGGGTTTCGAGGGGCAATATTTAACAGGGGCTATCATGTGCCCTTCAAGTCATGAGGATAAGCTGAGAAGAAGGTAATGCTTTCAGGGGTTAATTACAAGGACAGACAGTCACATAACATCAGGACAGACTTGCACAAGGCTCTAGAGTTGCTTGAACAAAGTGACAGTATTCATTATTCAGTTATGACTTATCTACGACCTGTCCAGAGAGCCTCAGAAGAAGGACCGGAGATTATTACATCAATGGTTGACTCAGATGGCGCTGTGCGACCCGTTATGTACCTTACTGACTAAATCCTTATTTACGAATTACGACTGGTTGGCAGTGGAACGATAAACAAAAGTGAGGGAAGACGGCGTATCCCCAGTGTACAGACATTGAAACACTCACGAGGTTGGACTCGAAGATCTCCTGTCTCGCGTCGTGTGCGTGGTGCGAGGGCGGCAGGTCCGACGATCGGACCAGAACAAAGTCCACCTTCCGAACGCCATCGCGGAAATATTGGTCCGGTCGGTACTGGAACCGGTTAAACCGATCGTCATGATACAAAACAAATACCGTCACCATATTCGAAAAAGAGACAAAAAATCACAAAACCTCAAAGATGGTCCGGAGCACAATTTTAGAGATAGCTTTGAGTCATTGACACGTTTCAATCACCAGCTAGACGTCACAGCCACTGGAATTTGCAGCTCGCACTGTGCACACTCTCGGTTTTATCAAGCACCCTCCAGTGCAGCACCTTTCTCCTGGGAGGCATGACTCCGAAGCAGGTGTGCAGACGACTGCAGACCCGACTATTGCCCGGTGTGCAACATATCGACACAAAATCCCCAAACACGGATTCCACGGTAGGTAGGTGACAAGTGCGTCATCGGGTTTCACGTGCCAGTATGGCAACAACAAAGCGGCCATATCCACGATACCTAAAACCATCAAAGTACTTCCGTGAACCGTCAGTATGAATAATGCTCAGCCTTTACGAGTTCTAGCGTCGCTAAGGAGTTCCCTATGCCAAATCAACGGAAGCAAACAGAATGTTGCGCCTGGCCCTGAAATCCGGCCAAATCTGTCTAGGCTGCCAGTGATACTGATCGCCAGGTGTTTCCGGATGCGGGTGCATTCACCCCCCCCCCCCCACAAACATCCCCAAATACCTACCCCCCCCCCACACACACACACACACCCTTTCACCCGGCAGCCTGCCATATGTCCATCTTTTCCACAGCCGACACAGTACGCCCATACCTAAGCAATGGAAGGATACAAATATTTTTTTGCTAAGGGACAAACCCACCAAGAATGTATGCCAGAAAAAAAAATGTTGTGAATTACAATATTTCAGAAATAAAGCCGGCGACTGGTTTATTCACCCAGTGGTCGACGTATCAACCTGATTCAATATCACCCAGTCACTAACCAGCTGCATCAGCGAGATTTTATCTGTTGGAACAAAATCTAAGATGGTAGGAACTTTAAGTTCCGTATTCCTGAAATCCTTTGCGCACTTCAACTGAAAGAACTATAATCGTGTGACAGAATATAATTGTATTCTAAATATATCAACATCAATAGGATTCCAGTGGAGGAGCTAGAATTTTGCGCCAGCATACGTCACGTTTAATCGAAAATATCTCCATGCAAACATAGCTCCACTGCAATTACGAGCGCAAACACGCCTCGACCTCTGTCCGGGTCGCTGCACCGACCTGGGGTGGGTGTTTGCCGTTGCCCTGGCGCACGGCGGTGAGCTCCGGTCCGGAGCTAACCGAGATGAGCTCCACCTCGTCTTGCTCCTGGAGCTGGGAGAGCCGGGTGACTGGCTCAGCGCCCGCCATCTTCTCACCGGCTCAGTGGCTCACCGGCGCCGTCTGGAGATAGGAGTGAGAAGGGCAGTAAGAACGACAGCGCTGGTGCAGCGGGTAACCAGAAGTCGCAAATGTCACCGATATAAGTCTGAGATAGACGTCGGATTTATAAATCACTGTTGGTGTCGGTCGACCACTTACAGGTACAGCTCACGCGGCGTATGGAATTGATGAAAAATTGTATGATTAAGAACACAGGCACAGGCAGATTTACTGCCACACTTTTCACTCTGTGACAGGTAGGCCCAGCCCGGCCATATGTCAGTCTGATGCTCCAGCGACGGTCGATGGCCTGTGTGGACAGACGCAGATAATTAATCAGAGATAGCGTGACGCAGTCGCACAGGGTGGAGCGCTAGTACGTCGATCCATGGCGGGCATGGCGGGTCAGATATAAGGAAAATGCGGCTTGTATGACTGACGGAATTCTCGTGGCGGAGTGAACCAAAGAAAGAACTATGATAACATATATCTTCGACACCAATCACAGATGATGCGCCCAGAAACAACAACCTAGCATCGAAGACCAATCTCTTTGACGTTAAAACTTCACTTGCTGTTCGTTAGGAATGCTAACCAGTGCCGACTCACGAAGTCCCGGCAGGCCGTTTTAGCTCCACGGGGCGCCACGACACGTTCCGACCCTCACTACCGGTGGCACCAACTGGCGACCTATGACCCAATGTTGCGTGGGCGGCTTCTCGGCAACGGAAGCCTCGATAACACCGCTATGTGACGCCGATAGCCGGCGGGGGTTACAGCACGGCCCGGTATACTATGGTATCGGGTCGGCCGGGATATAAAAAGTGACGTCATTGTTTGCACGGTTTCAATGACGGTAGTTCGAGACTGCAGCAATGTGAATGAGATCACTTCACCCAGATGTCTGGACTCACAGAGCCAGAGTCGGAGGCAGGGGCCGGGGTCATTTTAACAATTAATCGAGCCCCACTCTCGAGTGTTTTGTAATAAACCACGCCCTGCTGGGGAAGGGCGGATGTGAACAACCCCCTCCCCTCCCCTCCCCCGAGTTCAAATCAAAGGTCAGGTCACCAGAGGTCATCAAAGGTAAAATATTGCCTATTTTAACATTTTTCGAAACACTGGCGCATAACTCGGGAACCAATAGAGTTACATCGCCGCGGAAAAACGCATTCGATAACCCTTTTAACGCTCTTTCTGGAGTGTGTCCTCAGATTTAACCTCAGGTCAACGGTTTAGCCTCCAGAGGACAAAAACTGGAAAAAATAGCTGCTTTCACGAAACATGTTTTTCTGCAATAGCTTTCGACCCCAGGAACGTAAGACAATTATTTTAGTAGCATCGTATTCCACTCGTCGAGACGCGTCCAGTGAACTATAAATTAACCTTAAAAGGTCAATTTGAAAATCTGACCTTAGGTCAAGGTCATAACATAACTGGAAAAGGTCGTGTTGCAAATCAGTCAATCTGTATAGTCGACCTGAACACAGCTGAGGTGTTTTCGTCACTCTAGCATGTCTCTAACAGAAATTATTGCCCAAAAACTACTGGGGGTTCATGATGTGCGGTGACCTTGGAGACATAGCGAGGGGCCACAGCCCAGTACAGGAGCAACTTACAATTTCAGTGTATCACATTTACCCGTATCCTGATGCTTGAGAACATCTACAATGGCGTTCTTCCAACAGCCGCCTTTCAGTTTTCTCACATTGACTCATAATGGGGAGGTCGGAAAATTGACCTGACCTTAGGTCACTGATAACAAAATTCTGTGATAGTTTACATATACTGTTACGTTATTCAAATCAATCGCTGAAAGTTTCAAGGCGATCGTTTGATTGGTGTAGCCATGATGAGCATTTTAACCTCTGAGGTGAAGTCACTTGATGTGAACTGGTGACCTGACCTTGCACGACTTGGGTCTGAAATTTTTGCATGTGAGGTAGGTGTAGGTATGTGTGAGGAAAAGATGCAGGAATAAGTGTGCAAGAAATGGTGGCACTCCACAAGATGCATGAACAGGTGTGCAAGAAAAGGTGGCGCTCCGCCCCACCGTTTTTTAAGATATAAAAAATGTGAAAAACCGCAAAGGATGGCTGATGCGTGTCCAGACACCTCCGGCCCAGCGGCAGGGCGAGTTGACAAGGTAGGTAAGGGTCTATCTTTTACATTAAACAGAAATGCACAAGCAGAAAAACTGAGGAATTTAAGAAACATCGAATCTTTTCCAGAAGCATGCTGTCTGTACTAGGGCGGGTCGATGGAAAAAGTTTCCAAGTGAAGAGCGATTTTCCTACGGGCTGATCCATAAAACGGTTAAAACATATTTTTTGCGAATTTTTGAAAAGGAACTGGGCGCGCCGTCAACGGTTTTTCGAGACCACTTTTGCTAATTTTCCTCGTTGTTTGCAAAATGTAGTGGGAAAAATTCGAGAAAGGTACTATATTTACCACTTTCCTAGTTCTACATGCTTACCCCCACCTCTTCACAAAGTTTGGAAACCCCAGTGGCAGAATCGTGCTCAGAATCAGGGGGCGTCCAAGGGGCGTCGAAGTCTAGTAGGAAAATCTGGAAATCCCCGGCGTGACGTCACGTCGGGGATGACCGACGGCACCTTGCACTGAAAGATACGGCAGAACGGCTATTTTTGAAAAATGATTAAAAATACTTTTGTGCTGTTATGACACATAAAACGCTTATCAGCATGTTCCTCATCATGTGATAAAGGCACATCCGTGGTCGAAAATAGCTGAGCCCTTCCCAATTTCCAACCACCGACCTCATAAGCAAAGGATGTAAGCGACTTTCCTATACATATCCGTACATATGCGTCCTTATGGAAATCGGTAGTGTGGCGATTGGCGACGCGCGCGACATCTGTGTGGCGACCAAGTGGCGACTGTGGCGACACCTGGTGGCTGCTTTTCTGCTGTATGTAGGCATTGGGGTTTTGCCAGATGTGGTTCCTACTGCTACACCACTATGTTGACCCAATACTAGAAAAGTTATTTTGCTAGTAAAAGGCAAGCAAATTGAAAGTTGATTTATAAAATTGCTTATAAATGATTACGAGATAATAATAAAGAAATTTTGATTGAATAATTATTTAAATAATAAACCGTGAAACTATATTCTGGTAGGTTTAGTAGAAATAAGTCCGTGCAACCTTAACCCTGTTTACATAGCATTTAGACATTTCCCTAGCTGGCCTAGAGATATCACAAAACTGGCCAGTGACCTTTTGCAACTACACAAGTGACTGTATTCAATGCTACAAAGAGCACTTTTTCGGAATTCAGGCATGATACATCAATAAATTGCAATAAATAGGTTATTTTCGGCTCGAAAAAAGGGTACTATTTCATGCGTATAAAGACTACTTGCAAGCACCATATCTGCTGCCATATCTCCCTGCACCCCTTCGTAAACACTTTGCCATATTAGCTAAATCAAGCTATATAAATCACAATATATGCAGATATTCTTTACAAAAACAAAATATAAAGCGATATATAATATAAACAAAAGTAAGATATAAAAGGCTCTAAAGAAAAACATCTTAGAAAACAAGTATTTGGCCCACCACTAATATCGAGTACTGCTGTCTATCGGCAGACAGCTCTGCACTCTGATTGGCGGAAATCAAGGCTAACTAGTGCTGGGCAACGAAGTTATGACCAAGTACAGCATGCTTAGGAACGATGATGACGTAGTTGGGGGTGGTAGATTTAGCGTGAAGACCCACCAACAGATGATTTCCTGTCTTATTACTATTGGCAAAAATAACGAAGTTGGGTTTATCAACAACAACATTAAGGGTTCTTTTCTGAAAATATAAAAGCATTCATCAGACTTTTCTAAAAACATCAAAATATGACTTCTAAGTGGATCACCTGAGCCGCGCCACAAAATAGCTTGAACGCCGTGACTCCCTAATGACGTCATTTTCTGATTAGCAAATCAGCGCCGAGCAAGGCTTACTCTGATTGGTCAGAGAAATATTGAGAGTTTTATGTTGAGGGACCGGAGTGCGCCTTTGGTTAGGAATTTTTCACGGCGGTGGTAAAATCCTCTGGCTTGTGCTCTGGCTTGTCTAGCAGTGCCATCTATAATATAAGTCTTCAACTAGCAGTTTGGCACTTATGATCGCCTAGATGACGCTACCAATCGGTTTAGGTATTTGTTTGACTTCATGAATGAGCGCAACGTGATTAAATAGGTAATTACTGACTCTCGAATCTGCTTAGAAAGTCATTTAGAGCGTATGTGATACTTGCTACCAAATATCTTACGCACTCAGTTTCTGCTTGGTGTTTCCATGCCTTTTGAATCGATCAAGAAAATGTCACTGCTCAGAGGTTGAAGGTAAGCGGGAAAAGGGGTGTTACATATTTGATCTTTCTATAAATGAATGTAGAATAAGAATAAATGCAATCCGCTAAATATAAGCTGCAAGGAGTGCATCGAACTCAACAATCAGCTTTATTTTCATCGCTTTCATGGAAGCAACTTAGTCTTATGCTTAAATGTTGGGTAAAAACTTGGCAATATTCCACTCATATAATGCCCAAATGTACGGCATACAATTCATTTGAAGCCCATGCGTCGTTTATTATCAAAACTACATAACATGAAGAGCATCATAAACTTGGCAGGCTTTTTCTATTTGGTGGCCAGAACTCCATTACCACATTTCTGGATTTTGTATTTGCTGCGCAGCATTTGTCGACATGGCGGAGGCCGAACACCTGAAAGTAGATCGAGCTGGCATGTGAATCTGGCAACTCCTATGTAAACGGGGCTCTTGTATTTAGGGCCTTGCTCAGAATAGCGATTAGCATCGGCGCTCTGAGCGCAACGAAACCAGCGCCATCTATTGAGCGAGTTTGGCATAACATTGATTTTGACGGCTTTCCGACCGTTAAAAGCTGACGCAGCCGCTGCCACGTCGGGTATATGGTGTTATTTGGTGTTCCTAGTGTCTGATGTTTCTTATTTGACACTAGGTGAGTTGTACCCATTCGATCCGAAATA